GCTCTGTGAGCAGGGAAAGCATAGGGATGGGAAAGTCTAGTAGAGGGCTGCAGGTACTCTCTCTAGCTAGTAGAACAGAGCCCAGTGCATAGATTTTGACACACAAAGACACATACCTCTGTTTTCAAGGCAATGCAGAGCTAGAGTAGGAAACTGCTGACCCATGGGATCTCCCCATCCTGCCAATAGCTTTCCCTTTCCCCCTCTCCAGGGCACTTAGGCCTGAGAACAGTCTTCTGAGGGCATCAACAGAAGGCTGAAGTTCAAATCTTATTCCAGCACAGGTGTGTGTGTGTGTGTGTGTGTGTGTGTGTTCAGACAGGTTGAACCTTTGGGGGGCGGTGCTTCTGCAGCACTGCTCTTCAGCCTTGATGGCATTGTACTCCATCATCCTCCACCAGCTTAGCCAATGGTCAGGGATGACGGGAGTTCTAGCTCAACAGCATGTGGGACTCCAAGGTTTGAGAAATACTGTGCTAGAGGGTGTCCTGCTAGAATTTTGCCCTGTTGCTATCTGCAGGTGGAGGTGTGGGGAAAGGTCTCCCTGCTGGTTTTTGAATGCCATCAGTAACAGAAACGTATTCCATAGTGGTAGCTGTGCTGTCTCTTGCAGCAAAAATAACAGGGTCTTGTGGCACTTTAAATAATAACAAGTTTATTATGGCGTCAGCTTTCATGGCTTAATTCAATGCATGAAGTCTTACCTCATTTGTTCCTTAGACCTGGACTCAGACTTCACCTAATATAGGCACTTATCTTTGGATGTTAGAATCACCCTAAGAGGTATGTATGCCACTTAGAGACATATACCATTTCGAGAATGTTGTGATCTGTAAATCCTTCTACATAAAATAAAAATAACATCCGATGTGACAGGAAATTAAGAGATCAACACACCCAACTGAGATTTACTTTGTCTATCTCTGGTGACAATCAACAGTGTAGAATATGAATACATAAATGGGAAGGAAGTCAGGGGCCACCTTAAAGCCTCCTTAAAGCATTCCCCAGGACAGCTGTCACCATGCAGTCAGGCATTACCTTATATTCTTCCAATGTGCGGTGGAATAGTAGAACTGTAGAGTTGGAAGGGACCCAAGGGCCATCTACTTCACTCTGTGCAATGCAGGAATCACAACTAAAGAAATCTGGACAGAAGGGTGGCCAATTTCTCTTTCTCCAATGAAGTAGAGTCTACATTATCCTTAGTTAACTTAGTATCCTAGAACCGTAGAATCCTTTGTTATCCTTAGTAACTAATCCTTAGTTCGGGAAATATCCACAACACAGCATATCCTTTCATAGAGGAGCCCTGCAGTGATGTGAAGAAAACAACCCAATCCAGGTGGTTAAGGAAATTCTCAACATCCTGGAAAGTAGCATTTCACTACAGGGAGACTCATCAGGCTGGGAGATTTACAACAACCTCCACCTAGTGGTTTTTGTGGGTTTTGCAACCTGTTGACTCAATAGTTTCATTGAGATAAATAAGGCTTACTCCTAAGCAAACGGGCATAGGATTAGATTGACCCAAGACTTTAAATTTTGATGCACTTGTGTACCCTAGACTTGCATGTTTCCCCTTGTTTTCTTGTACTGTGCTTTTTAAAAAAAAAGAATGGAAGGAAGATCCTAGTTATTAGCTAAAGATAGAATAGTTCAGTGCCCCCCCGTCTCTCCACTTATCTCCCTCACCCCCAAAAGCTATTGGTCTAGAAAACTATCACAGTTCCCAGTGTCTAGGTTTGTTCCTTGCCTGAAAACCTCCATCACACCTGCCAAAATCAGCAAGAACATGGCCAGCCTAAAGCAATACTAATGGCTTCATCTAAAAGACCATCTTGCCTGTAGCAAAAGACGGAAACTAAGGATTGTATTAAAGGCAACACTTTCCTCTGGGGAGCTGCTCATTCATAGCAGTCAGTTTTTGAGAGGGCCTTGAGCAAGATGGTCTTAGTGGATCCACCACCCCTTTACAACTGTCACTGCCACCCATTTTGCTTTCCCTATTTATCTGGGTGCAGCCTGCACATATATCAAGAGGTGCACCAGTAAGCAGACTAGTCCCTTTTTGCTCACTCCAAGCGGGCAGGTGAACAGGCAGTAGCAGAACAAGGAAGAGGAAGATCAGGGCCAGGGGGTTTAAGGGGTGGCAGTGGGCCTCTAGCTGAAGCATGGCCCTCAGAAAGCATATGATGTCAACGCCTGATAGTAGCTTCTAACGTGGATGGAGTGACTCTCACTGTGTCACCACAAACTATATAGCTTACATTATGGTGGCCCAGTGAAAATTATTCCGTGTGCAGGCCCACCCTGTGAAGTGATTTAAATCAGGCTCATCACACTTAACACCTTCATTTTTCAGCGGTAGCTTCCCAGCTGCAATTTGTAATACCAGTACAGTGGTACTTCGGGTTACATACGCTTCAGGTTACATATGCTTCAGGTTACAGACTCCGCTAACCCAGAAATAGTACCTCGGGTTAAGAACTTTGCTTCAGGATGAGAACAGAAATTGTGCTCTGGCGGCGCGGCAGCAGCGGGAGGACCCATTAGCTAAAGTGGTGCTTCAGGTTAAGAACAGATTCAGGTTAAGAACGGACCTCCGGAACGAATTAAGTACTTAACCTGAGGTACCACTGTACTTGGTTCCTATAGGCACTTTCCCATATGCAGGATCTCTGACATTTTCACTGATTCGGGGCTGCAAAACTTTGGTTTTCAGAGGCCATATTAGGCTGTCGCAGCAAAACAAGACCAGAACCTTGGGATACTTTAAAGACCTAACAAATTTATTGTGGCATAAATGTCTGTGGGCAAGAGCCCTTTGAGCAGGTAAGTGAAGTGGTCACATAAGTGGCTTTCTTTCTTAATAACCAAACAGGACAGCATTTTATGGAAGTTGTAGCCCAAAATGTCTCAAGGACACCAGGTTGGTGGAGGGGGGTGGGGAGGCTGAACCTTCTTCTTCACAGGTCTGATAAAATGGGTTTACACTCACAAAAATCTGAAGCCCAATAAATTTGTTTGTTCTTAAGGTGCCAGGAAACTCTAAATTATTAAAGGATACTACTATTTGTATTTTATTTATGTGTGCAATAAACTCTTAATAGAAAACGCAGTCCCTTAGAACAGCCCAGCACAAGTTGGCAGCTTTACCATCTCTGCTGCCACACAGTGGTGAGCAACTGCTGTAGCAATAAGACTGGAAATGTTAAAAAAAAAGAGGAGGAACAGACTACACAGGGAATAACTGAACAGAACTATTAGGGGGCCTAATGGGGAGGTAGAATATTGCAGGCCTTGTGGAGCTTGATGATACTTGCCAACCTAAAGTAAAAATGAACCATGCCTTCTCAAGGAAGTTTCCTGGACATTCCTGGGAGATATAATAATTATTTTAACAATAATTTATTATTTCTACTCCGCCCATCTGGCTGGGTTTCCCCAGCCACTCTGGGCAGCGAAGTTATATCGTTAGGCAGTCACATCCTTTATTGGATGAAGTACTGTATTAAAATATGATCTCAGGAAGGTGAGTTCTTAAATCTTCTTACTGTATTAGCTATTCAAGGGGCAGCTTTTTCAGTGTCTATGAAACAGCTCATGATTTACCCCCAAGAAACAAATAGGTTTCATATATGGTTGTTGATTCCTGTGTCCACTATCTGTTGCTTGCTGCTTCTGTTGGGTATTTCACTCCGTGCAACTTCTTCAGTGTTCAATATGCTTGCATGGGAAAAACTGGGACTTCCCATCAACCACCATACCCAAACACACCACAAGGTTAGATTCTCTGGTTAAGGCAATGTTTCTGTCCATAGACTGCTTCGTATGTGGGAGACCAAAGTAATGTATTCCAACTTCTTTTCAACAGATATTTTTGGCAGTGAAACTTCCAAGGTTGTATCAGTTCCTGTCTCTGCATTGTGCTGCCACAGATGAGAAAGCATTACATGTACAAAGATTAAGATTGATCCTGGCAACTTGCAAGCGCAAGCCAGCTTCAGTTTAGGAAGCACTAGATTTCCCGCCCCCGCTCTGGGGAAACCAAACAGAACACCATTGATTGTTCATTTGCAAATCATGTTTGGAATGCTGTGATGTCATATTGCTTCGATGACTCAGCAAACAAAAACCTCAGGTGAAATCCAAGGCAAGAAAAAGCATTAAGACCCTGCTAAAGAAATGGAAGTTTGCGAGGAAAGTATGTATTTATTTTTCTCTGTTGTGATGGCGACGTAACCTTTTTAAAGGCATTTCTGCTTGTAAAAAGTCTTTCCGTTTTGCTAAAACTGTGGGGCTTGTGAGGTTCTTCCATTAGATGATACGCTGAAAGACAGCTTAGCCACTGCTCCTACAATGTGCAGCTGCTAGGAAGCATTGTGTGTGTCCTCAGTTCATGTGCAGCAATAGTGAAGCCCAAAAGACATGGCCATTGCCCCATAACGAATCAAGGGTGAGCCCTAAAACAGTTCTGTATTTCTGTGGCAGAATAATGAATGTCAAAAGGATCCCCTTATGGTAGAAAGTTCAAAATCCAATAATTGAAAGCCTATGGACCTGTGCATCTAAGCACATCGGTCGCTGCAATGCTCTTGAGAGCCAGCAACCCTCTTTCAAATGCTACAACGCTGGAGAAGTCACAGAGAGCAGGCAGTTGAAAGGGTGGTAGTGGAAGAACCTTTGATAGTAGAGTCGTACCTTGGTTCTCAAACGGAATCCATTCCAGAAGTCCGTTTGACTTCTGAAAACGTTTGGAAACCAAGGCGCAGCTTCCAATTGGCTGCAGGAGCTTCCTGCACTCAGTCGGAAGCTGTGGAAGCAGCGTTGGACATTCGGGTTCCAAAGAACGTTTGCAAACTGGAACACTCACTTCCGGGTTTGCGGCGTTCGGGAGCCAAAACGTTTGAGTTACAAGGCGTTCGAGAACCAAGGTACGATTGTATTCCATAGCATCCCAGAATGGAAGGACAACAAGACAAAACCTATTGAATCTATTTGTAGTAGATTATAGATATATGTAAATACGTAGTGGCTTGCTACACAGCCTGAACCTGCAACTACGAAACAAAAAGAAACAAAAGACACACAGAGGAAGCAGAGGCGATTTCCTTATTAGCTATGTTTATTATGCCGCGGCTCAAGCCGCTCTGTACACAAAGCACCCAGCTGCTTTAAAGCTACTTGGTTTACACTGGATTTTTTTTTTAATTTGTTTTTTAAAAAAGTTTTTTTGTTTATTTATTTAAATGAGCTAGAAATGGTCCTTCTATGACAAGAGAGGTCTGACTTGCGCAGGGCCATTCCCCCACTATGCTACAGAGCATGGGAAGGGAAGGGGGGTGGGGTGGGAAGGAAGCAGCGGTCACCACCGGACCAAGGTCCTGCCTGGGCACCTGCTCCCACCAGCAGTATTTACAGCCAGGGATAGCTGGAATGTACAGAGTGCGAAGGGGAGGGGGGTCAGGGAGTGAGGAAAGTGTAGGTAGTTGGCTGCTGGGGCCAGATGTTTTTGAGGAGAAACAGGAAGCATTTTGTGTTCTATCTCAGTTCAGTACCTTTCACGACAGAGTGAAACTCTTTTTAGTGTCTGGGGCTGCCCCCAAAATTCCCACGCAGTACCACAGGGGCAAGGAACTTGTCGTACAGGAAAAATGTAACTTGCCGAGGTAGGCCGAAGGCGGCCTTGGACCAGATGGGAGGAATGTTAGTAAAGGCCAGGAATAATAATAATAAAATATAATAATAAAGGGGGAAAACAAGAGTGGCTCAGAATACTCTGGAGACTGAAAAAATCCCCATGACCATGGCTAGCGTTAGCTGAAGCAATTTGGAAAGTCAAGGGGGATTTTGTGGGGGACAGGGTGGGAATGCTGTAGAATTTAAGATGAATAAATTAACCTGGAATGTGAAGAAGTGCCAAGTTTGGGGGGGCTATGGGGCTTAGTTTCCTGCAGGGCAGCGGGCAGGTTTGGGGCTCGACCCTCTGCATAGCAATGCCAGTCTGGGCTAATGCTGCGTACCCAGTACACAAATACAGTGAGCAGAATCCCGCCCCAACATGGTGGGAGGGGAGGGGGGTGCTCGACCCGAGAGACAGTGTCATGCAGAGGGGGGGAGCAAGGGGCACAGTTTCCTCTCCATTCCTCACAGCTCAAGACCCATAGGAAGAAGAGTGGCAAGACAGGGGTTCTGACATTGCATACATTGTAAAAAATAAAGCGTTTGGAGTAAATGCAGTGTTTATACAAAAAAAAAGGAAGAGTTTATTTCTTTTTTTAAAAAAAAAAAACCCTCCCCCGAAACCTAGTTGCCATGGTTACAGGGGAGGGGAAGGGAGAGGGCCAGCCTGGGCTCTGTGGCAGTGAGGGAACGGGGAGGCCATGCCTTCCCCCTCCAAGACCAGGCATATTTTATTTTATTTTTTTTAAAAAAAACCTTTTTACACTTGAGTTTTTCTCTTATAAAAACACAGTCAGGGGAAACGACGACAGGAGCCCCTGAGGCAAGTGCAGGCCCCAATGGGGGCCACAGAGGGACACAGGCCTCTGGGATCTGCTCCACCACCCACCTCCTCACGCAAACACCTGCATCTTAGCGGATGGCTCCACTGAAGGCAGCTGGGTGTGGCTGGGCCCCAGGACAGTCGGGCTGGGAGTAGATTCAGACCAGTCGGACAAGGAGTGGGGCGAGGGGCTGCTCCACTGCTCTGGGGACTCTGGCGAAGGAGTCAGGTAGGGGTGCTCACTGGGCGGATGGAGGAAGTGCTTGGGGGTCGCGTCCTGCCCCTGTGTGTAGCTGTGTTGAGAAGGGGGTGTCGGGTAATCCTCAACCCCCGCGGGCTTTAGGTACTGTGGGGGCCCTGCACGGGGCGCCCCCTGGGCCTCCTGGGGCGAGACAGGCTGGTTGGTTCTCATGGTGGTAGCTGGCGGGGGCATGGGCTGGGCTGCCTCCTTGGTCTGTGGAGGAGCTGAGTTGGGCAGACCCTGGGAGCTGTGCCCCATGGCCATGTGGCTGGGCAGAAGCAGCCCTGGTGGGAAAGCCTGGCCTGGTTGGTGCAGGTTGGGATGGGAGGCGGCAGGGTGCACAACCCCTATGATTGGCTGGCACTGGGAAGTGGGGACACGGGCATGCCAATCAAAGGGCATGGCCACGGGGCTCACCATGCCCAGGCTGAGCCCCATGCGGCCTGGTGGCACTGAGAGGCGGTTCATGGAGAGGAGGGTGCCGTCCCCTAGGTCGCTGAGGCGTGCCAGACTGACAGCAAAGGGCGCCTCCATCATGCCGTGGACCATGGGAGTGGAGGGCACTGACAGTGAGGAGTTGGCTGGGTGGAAGACCCCTGGCGAGGCAGGGTTGGGCACATAGGGGGAGTCCAGTGAGTCAACGGGAGACAGGGTGACAGAGCTCTCCAGGAGAGAGCCTTGGCACTCCAGGTTGAGCTTCTTGGCACGTGCCTTGGCCTCTTTGCTCTCCCTTGCCAGGCTGGCGCTGCTGCCCGCCGTCGCGTTCTTGGTGCTAGGACGCCGGCTCTTCTTGCCCTGTGGCGTGGGCTTCAAGCTGGGCAAGAAGCTATTGGGAGGGCACATGAGAGGGGAGAGGGAGTGGCCGGCGGGCAACGCCCCCTGTGGGCTGCGCACGGTGTTGTAGTCGTCCAGAAGCCGGACAATGTCGTGGTGCAAGCGCTCCTGAGCCACGTCGCGTGGCAGGCGATCCATGTGGTCTGTGATTTCCCGGTTGGCAAAGTGATCCAGCAGGATTTTGGCTGCCTCATAACTGCCTTCCCGGGCTGCCAGGAACAGCGGTGTCTCCTCCTGCCGCAGAGAGGACAGGGTGATGAAGAGAACATACTACAAAGCATTCTAGAAAAGCAGCCATCAGCTTCTTGTCTCCCTGTAAACCTCCCCACCATATATAGGCAGGGGAGCCACATTTACAGGGATGGAAAGAGCTGCTCCTGTCAGACAGAGCCTACAGCAACAGATGTGATTTTGCGAAGTTATGGGGACACATGAAACTTAAAGCATCACATGATAATCGAAAAACAAATGCAATAAAGAACTTACTTTGCTGTCCTGCATGTCCTTGTTGGCTCCATTCTTCAGCAGCGCAATCGTGGCCTCTACATTGTTGACAGCTGCTGCCCAGTGCAGGGCTGATTTACCTGGGAGGAATGACACCATGAGGATTACTGTAAGTTCTCTCTTTGATACCGAGTCTCAGATCCCACTAGAAGTATTCTGCTGCATCAGCTCCCTTAACTCTCCTCATTCTAAAGCTACCACCTTGCTCCTCACTACCATCCTCGCCTGTTGCTGCTCATTCTGTGCTTTAATGCTGGACCTTCTGTAGACTCTGGATTTGTCCTCTCAGCAACTCAGCTGCTTTGTTATGGAGATGCATGTCCATGCAAGAGTCAAGCAGCTATGGGGTCCCCAGAATCACCAGCAGGTTCCCCAGAAGGTCTTCTGTCATTTTGACCCTGCACACAAAGACCATGCCCTACTCTCTTAATACCCCTCCACACAGTAAGGCATTGTCTTCATACATCAGGAACGAGGGCCACACATGGATCCTGGCTTATTTTCATGCGGGTGGGAGAGGGGGAAAGGAGGGCAGGGTGGTGGATTGGAACGGGAAAAGGCAAAATGGGTGGAATGATGGAAGTGCAGGGGATGCCCTCTGAAAGCAAATAGTTTAGAACTCTAGCTGGAGGCAAGAGTATGTCAGCAATGAATGCTTGGAGAGGGAAATCCTCTGCACCAGATCAGTTCTGGCAAGAGTTTTCTATCCCCTTTCCAGCAGTTCAGTAGGCAGACTGAAAAAAGAAGAGCTAGTAAAAAATAGGTAGCAGAGGGGGGGTGTCCTATTGACTCTCAAGAATGTGACGAAAGAGAGAGAAAGAGAGAAATAATAATCCCACATTCCTTGTCATGTGTGTAATCCATCCTTTTGCTCCCTCCACCTCTAGCACTCAGGGCTCTATGATGACAGTGGCTCTTGCCTTGCAGAGCCTCATCAGAATGCATCTAAGGAGCTTAGAGAGGGAAGCAGGAGTCAGGAGAATGGCCAAGTGAATTGCTGATGCTTGAGAAACGCCCAGGGCAACCAGACTGGAGGTTCAGCAAGTGCATTTGCGGAATTAATTTGGAATACATTTGCAATGCATGTTGTAGTTCTGAGGAGGCCTCCCTTTGAAGTTCAGCATAACGCAGAATAGCCAAGTAAAAGAACTCAGCCCCCCAGCCTCTCTGGGGGTTACGTACCCATCTCATCCACAGCGTTGACATCAGCGTGGCAGACAATCAGCTCCTCCACCATGCCCTCAACAGCCAGCCTGGCCGCTAGGATCAGTGCTGTTGAACCATCCCCCATTCGGGCATCCAAGTCTGTAGATCGATTCCGAATCAGGATCTGGCAACAGAACATGTTGGTGTGTTAGGTTGGTGCCAAAAACACACACCATCCACGGCAGCATGTGCACAGTAAGACTATCGCCTCAAGTACAGTTCTTAGGTTCTCATTCACTCTTATCAATGCAAAGTACAGCCAGGCTAAGTAACTTTTCATCATGTCCCCAGAGAGGTAATGAGTGGATAACACAAGAATAACTTCCAGGTGGTAACCATCACAGTGGCTCTCCACTTAAAAAGGGAACTGGAGCATGCTGTTAACATGGGCAAGGCAGAGGAGGGGGATTTATGTCCAGGATTTAAAAGGCCACACTAGTCCACTGGGTGAGACCCACCTGGAAGACTCCCTGGGCATCAGCAGTCACGGCAGCATGAAGTGGTGTGCGCCCTGTGTTGTCTTGTGCATTGGTATCAGCACCAGCATCCAGCAAGCGCTTGGTAGCATCTGCCCGTGCATATCTGGCAGCCAAATGCAGGGCAGTTTCACCTGTGCGGTCTGTCTGGGCACTCAGGTTAGCCCCCTGGCAGATTAGGTCCGAGATTATGTTGGCAGAGGAGTCATCTGCTTCCTCTTCCTCAGCCAGTTCAGTCTCCATTTCACCACCACCACGGAAGGAGGCCAACATAAGTGGAGTGAAACCATCTGTAAGGAGATCCCAACAAGGGTTGTTGCTGTTGTGTTTGGCTTTTGTTAAAAGATCTGCTCTGTTTCTCCTCTCCCATGTGCCACATACTGGATTAGAACAAAACATGTTGCGACTTGTTACAGAAGACAGGAAGTAACAGATCTATTCTGTTCATCAGACATTGTATGCAAAAGCTCTGTATGAGCGCTCGCAGACCCAACTCGCTGCCCTTATTCCCAATTACCTGGTCCACGGACATTGACGTCCATGCAGTCAGTATCAAATTCACCCTGGGGTGGCGTCAGGGCCATAGATGGCGGCATGCGGATGTCTGCTGCCACCAAGTGATGCTGTGTCCATTGACGGCAGTCCACAGGGTCTTCACGATCTATGGCTGGCTCCTCCACCTGGCAAGGATGAACACGGGCCTGTAGCTATTATGGAAAGACATAATATGCGCCTATTCACCTAGTGCATCAAACTACTTCATTGCTGCTTGCAAACACTAATGAGTCAGGCCCACAGTAGTCTGATGCAGGGAGTAATACCTGCGGACACCAAGAGAAAGGGTGGGGGAGGCAGTGGGGTAGCTCTTGTGAGAAGCTGGAATCCCCTTTCTTAAGCCAGGCAAAGTCTCAAAAGGAATACCTTTAGTCGCTTGGCCTCTGGGCACTCTTCCAGCCAGTCTTCTGAGCTGTCTGGTATTAGGCTCTCTCCTTTGCCAATATTCCTGCAGCAGGGGGAAAGATACATAGTGAAGTCAAACAGTAGTGCAGGGCAAACACCAAACCTATGGGCTTACACCCTCTTGCTCTTTCCCACACCACAAAATGAAGGAAAAGTTCTCCATCAGCTAACTAAAGCACAATTGGGAGCAAAGTACAAGCCACAGATAGCTGACCATCTCCTGCAGAAGCTGAAACCTGCTGCAGGAACTGGGGTTTCATTCTGGGTGAATGAAAGGCTCTTACTTCATGCCTAGGGCATCCTGACCCACAGGCTCACGCCGGTTCTTATTGCTGCTCTCTTTCTTCAGACTGAAGCCTTCAGGGAACCACAGGGTGCTGTGCTCTCTTTTGCGCCGTGCCACTAGCACACCCAGCACCAGGATCACCAGCAGAATCAGGCATGCCACCACCAGCAATGGCACCAGCTTAAGTTCGCCTTCCTCTTTGATCTTTTCACCTGTAGAAACAATACCGCCCTATTAGGAGACCCTGTCATGACCTTCCTGTAAACTCCAAACCCAGTCAAATTCTGCTTCCAGCAAATGACTCCTCTGGTGCCCTCACCTCGCACAGCCTTGAGGGGGTATGGGAACTCTAGGCGCTCCACCGCTGACAGGGCAGCCAGGTAGTCTGCAGCACTATCTGCATCAGGGAAGCACTTGTCTGAAGCCTGGTAGCAGAGTCGGTTATCAATCTCAAGAGTGACCTCAGACCTGGAGGAAGAAGCAAGTGTTACCAGGGCCTAGAACTCCTTATCTAGTAGCACACACAATTCTAGGACAAGGCAAGTCAGCCAGCTCCACAAAAGGTCCTGCTCCCCATTCATCCTCTGGTGCAGGAAACAAGGTCTGTTGCTTTTTACACACTGAATTTTAGAATGGGCACTTCCCAATACACACATCAAGGAAAAGAACACCCAAGATTCTCTCAGCAGCTTTAATAATCCTAATGTATTTGTGAAGCACAATCTCTTCTTACAAAATGCAGGCTGACTCTTCCTAAGCAGATCACATTTACCCCATTTGTTCTTAACGATGCATGCAACCCACTTGCTTGGCATTAACCTAAAGCTTCCAGAGATCCACCACTATCTCAGGCACTCACTTGCTTCTTTTATTTCATTAGCCACCTTCTGGTACTTTGGCTAAGAAAGCAGTTAGACATCAGAAGCGGTTCTTGAATAATATAATTAAGTTATCTAAAAACGCTTGAATGAATTCCCGTCTAGTTATGGAAATCTATCACTAAATAATCCTGTTATCAGCTCCAAAACAGTTTTTGTGGTGACTCTGGATTTGTTAGTATTTCCTCAGAACCCTCAGATTTGTATGCCAGTTCTACAGTTTTTTCCCCCACAGCTGCCTTATTCTGTGACGGCTGTTGGAAGTAGTTTAGCTGAGCCTCTGGGCCCAACTACCTCTCCTTCCAATTCAGAACCTTCTTATATCCCTCCCTCTATGTTCCTTGAGGCCTGGGTCCTATAACCCCCCACCACCAACAAGCAGCTCTCTGAACTCCCAAAGCTCCTTGCTTTTCTTCAGCTCCTCTGTGTGACTCACCCAATAATCTCTTGTTCCAGTTCCCTGCGTTGCCGACCGCCAGATCCATAATACGGCGGCCGACTGCCAGACCCGTAATATGGCTTGATCATGAAGTTACCGTCCTTGTCACGGCGGAAGCGCAAGGAGGTTCTCAAAATGGAACTCAGCTTCTGCAGGAAGATGGTGCTGGTGCGGAGCAATTCGTCAGGGTGTAGCAGCACAGTGATGACCAGAACGCCGTCCGCCAAGCGTTCGGGCACCTCCAGCGCACAGTCCAGCCCATCCCAACCACACTCTTCGTTGTTGCAGCCCTGGTCACAATGGCCATCAGCAAAGTGATCTGAGCAGTATTTCTCATAGACAGGGCTGTGGAAGAAGGAGGAGGAGAAGGAACTGATTCACGCCTGTCATAACCAACCCTATGCCAATACAGCTCACTGGTGCCTTGTTAAGCCCTAAGGAGGAAAGGGCACAAGGCATTATGGGTCTGCAGTGGATTCCTACACCCCACAGCTAACATGGCCAAGTCTCAGAGCTAGTCAAGTGGAACACATAGAAGGAATCCATGCAAATAATACCAAGACTCTGCCATGTTTGGTGTCGGAAGTAGGGACGGATATAAATTTATAGGTCTCAGTGGAAGCACCCGTGTTTGTGCACAGCATCCCTACACTTCCTAAAATAAGTCTTGGTTCCTCATTTAGTTGGGGTGGCCCTTGATTCCAGGGGTCTCTGGTACGGTATACACAACTAGATACCTCCCCTACTCAAGAGGCAGTGGCAGGACTCACTTGCAGCTGGACTCATGGCTCTTGCAGTCAAAGTTGTCATAAAGGCACTCGGCCGTGTTGCACATCTCATCACACTGGCTGTTGTTGAAGAGCTGCAGGCACAGGGGGCTCTCGCACTGCTTCCAGGGATCATCGACTCGCAGGGAACAGTCACCGCCATCCCAGTGGCAGGCTGGACTGTTGCACATCTTGTCACAGTAGAAATCCCCGGCCTTTGCAGCGCACTCCTTCAGCGGGCAGTGGACTTCGGGGAGCTTCAGGGTGCGGGTCTGGCAGCGGAACCCCGTGTAGTCACCAAGACAAAGGCACTGAAAATAAGGAGGGTCAGCAGTCTCATGGCAAGCACCCCCATTGTGGCAGGGCATGCTGGCACAGCTGCTGTTGGCATGCAGGCGGCATTCCGGTCCAGCCCACCCAGGCAGGCAGGAGCAGCGAGGACCCAGCGCTGTGGTCCGGCAGCTGCCACCATTGAAGCAGGAGAGTTCCCGGCAGGAGAGCATGCGCTCACAGCGGATGCCTGAATAACCCTGGAAAAGAATAAAATGCAGAGTTAGGATTGGAAAGCCGGCCAAGCCCTCAAATCACTCCAACTGCTGGCCTAACAACAGAAAGCCTCTGGCACCATGGCTGTCCTCTTACAAGCGCTCAGCCTGGTGAGTAAATTCTTCCCTCCACAAATCTCAAGGCCCAGCACCCATATCCCGCCCTCAAGAAGTACCTTCCCACACCCCACATCCCCCAGTACTGGGCACCACTCACCAACGCCATCTCCCCTTATTAGCCAATATTAGACTTCTGCATTGTGTTATGGCACTGCATCAAACTTCTCTTGCAGGATTCACAACCAGAATTCCCACAAGATCACGCAGCAGAATTGTTTCCTGCCACTCCCAAGTAGAAGCTCCTTCCATGATAAGCCTTGCATTGGAGGACACTAAACTCTCTACCTCCAAAAAGCCTCCCAGACAGAAACCTTGTCCTAACAGGTACTGAAACTCATTCATAGCACAACACCAACTTATCAGCCTAACAGTTCCCCCACCTAATCCTCCCAACCGCAGTCTTCCTTTCTCTCCCTCGCCTAGCCCCTTGCAATGTTTGTGTACAGGAGTTGCATTAGCCACTTGCTGTAAGCAGCTGTGTTGTAGGGGACTCACCCGGGGACAGTGGCAGGTGTAGCCTAGAGGCAGGTTGACTGCCGGATTACACTTCCCACCATTCTGGCAAGGTTGAGAGTCACACGCATTCACAATGTTCTTGCAATGGCGGCCTGAGGATATGAAAAACAAGAGTATTACTGATGGATTCCAGCAGAACTTAGCCCCAAAGACCACCACCACCCTGCTATATTTGGTCTTGCATCTTAACACTAGTTCTCAAAGCTCGTATTTGCTCACTGAAATGGCCAAAGAGGCTCATCTCATCCAGTCACCATTCCAATCTTTGTTTTAGATCACAAATATGCATTTAGCTGCACAGTTGGATTCCCCTCCACCCACTTGGTTGAAGATGAACTCCTAACTTCTTTACAGGGGAGAGTCCTCCTACTTGCAGCCCTTGAGCCTGGCTCCTCTACGCATCACTTTGGGCACACTCTCCCTTGCCCCTTGCACACATCAGCCACATGAAAAGAGAACACACTGTCACTCACCAGTGTAGCCTGGCTTGCAAATGCAGTGGTAGTCACTGGCTTCCTGGACGCAGTCAAGCGTGTTGCGTGGGTGGCAATGGTTGGATTGGCACTCATTGATGTCTCCCTCGCAGCGCTCGCCTGTGAAACCTGGTGGGCAGCTGCATCGGTAGCCACCGACTCTGTCCACACATGTCCCGTTGTTGAGGCATTTGGGGACCCGGGAGCCAGGATTCATAGCACAATCATCTTCATTTATTTCACACAAGACACCTAGAGAAATGACAAACACGCCATCACATTAAACATCCAGACTCAGGGAAGACAAACCTCTTCCTCCTTCTCACAATCCTTGCATTGTCTCTGTGGAAAAAACAAGATTCCTCGCCCTTTACGGTGCCCAACAGTGAGTCAACATCCATCCATCCATTGCCCTGGGCACTGTTGCTGAAGCTGTCCTCCCTCAAAAAGAGGCCTGGGAGAACTCTGAGCCCATGTTCTCCATCCTGTGCCCTACGGGGAAATCCAGAGCTCCCTTTCACTATTCTTCAACAAAATAGCAAATCCAGCAATAAACACCTGTGCCCTCAGAACTTAAATCCTTTCCCCAGTCTTGTACTTTCCTACTACAGGTACGATTGGTAAAGGTCTCCCTATACCCAGGAGCACTTACCCAGAGTTCCAGGTGGACAGGAGCAAATGTAGCGGCCAACAAGATCAATGCAAGTCCCTCCATTCTGGCAGGGGTGTGACTGACACTCATCAATGTCATACTCACAGTTTTTCCCCTCGAACCCTAGCGGGCACTGGTGTAGAAGAGAAGCAAACAAGACAAAACAGCAATGAGCACAAAAAGGCCAGAAAGGCTGAAGCCTTGCGTCTTTGAAAAGGTTTCCTGCTCTTGGTTCCATTAAAATTTATGTTTTGTTTGTTAAACTGTACTATTACTGATGTGTAAAATCAAGTAAAACTAGTACAATTTCATAAGGAAGGGAAAGATCCTTCAAGTTGCACCATCCTCTTTTTTGTCCAAATTAAGATTATTAAAGTTTAATGGGATTTTGAGCAAATAGACTATGGCAAATTATTCCAAGATTTATACAAATAGATCAGTCTGGCTTCATAAAAAGGAAGGAAAATACATAGCAAGAAGAAACATTAAACATCATTATGAAACTGTATCACAAGATCATGGCTAACATATGTTGTTAGAAAACACTGCAGTATCATTTCTGTTTGGTTCCTGTGTAATGCTGTACTTTTTCAATGTCTCCAGACCATAGATAGCGAACCTTCTCCAGTCTGATGGCTACATTCCCTTCTGAGCAACCTTCCAGTAGTCATGTGGTGGGTGGAGCCAGAGGCAAAAATGGGTGGAGCAATGACCATAAATTTTACTTTGTAGGGCAGGCTATTTTCTACCCATAACACAATTCTCTGCATCCCCCACAAGGGCATATAAATATTGGTTTGGCTGTGCCTGGCGCGGTGGGAAAAAATTCTTACAGAGAATTTGAGAAACAACACAATGGACTTCATTGCTGATATGCAACTATGATGTGGCAAAGAATAAAACAAAAGATGTATGGGTTTTATAAGACATGGTGGAAGTTCAACCAATCTGACCAGCCATCAAATAGGAGTTACCACCAAAAGTAAGGAAGGTTGCAGTAGTGGGAAAACAATTATAATCCATATCCATATTTCAACAAAATAAAACTTTGGAAGAAAATAGAGGGGTTTTTCGTGTTTTTGGTTTTTTTTTTAATTACTGGGAAAATAAGTTGCAGATTTGTGCCATTTTCTTATCTTATTTCGCAATTGTTCACTGGACATTCAACAACTCATCATTAAATGTCACCAGGTTTCCCAGAGTTCTGAAGAGACACCAGGAACCCTGGCCTGTTACTGGCTGCAAGGACTCCCTCACCTCACAGACGTAGTCTCCCACAAAACTGCGACAGGTACCCCCATTTCGACACAGGTTGTACTGGCAGTGGTCCACTTCACTCTCACAGTAGCTGCCGGTGTAGCTTTTTTTGCAAATGCAGTAGTGAGTATTGCCAGCATCCACGCAACGGCCACCGTAATGACACACCTGCTCTTTGGTCACACCTATTGTACGGAAAAGCAAATTACACATTGTGTACTGCTACATATTCTGCCCTCCTGTTTCCAAAGGATGATTAGACAAAGTGACTAAAAGCAGGGTAAGTGAAGACTGAAGCAACATTGTACAAGCAAGTTGGTCATAAGAACAGAACCCAAGGGCTTCCTCCAAGCACTAGACTTTCTTACCCACCACAATTTAAAAGACACTTTATTGGGGAAGCACAACATATCCCAATGTTTCCTAAGTCAGAATTTAATTTACATTTCTGTAAAATGTAAAAAAAAGCCTCTTTAGAGTCTTGATAATAGAGGTTAAATTGTGATAGAACATGCAACGTGCTCCAGTACTATAGCAGGACCAGGGAATCCAGACCAACTCTCCATTGCCCTCAGCCATTATCACACCATTTTGAAATTATTACAGAGTTTCATATACAGAACTACCACTTCTGCAACAACATTTGCAGCTTTTATTCTGCCCCCTAGAAGCATGGGAAAATTGACTTCAAACGTTGAGAATTTTTAGTTTCCAGTGCCACTGGGAATAGCCGTCTGAACTATTGATTGGAGCACCAGTGAACCCAAGGACATTGTCCCCGCATCAGTGAAGGCAAGTAACATTCACTGTGTCAACTCTGGAAGTCCTGTATCAGCTTTGCCAGTGAGCATAAGCTGATAATGCTGGGGAGCCTGGATGACAAACATGCGTCATCAAGGTCACTGAGGAAGCAGCTAGCAGAATAAATGAGGAAGAAGGGCTTCCGTTTCACTGCCCCTGGAGCATGTTTCCTTACCTCGGTTCCTGGCCACCACTTCACAAGAAACATTGGGGATGTCGCAGTAACGCCCAGTCCAACCTCCAGGGCAAGCACAGGATAAGGTAGTGCCTGTCTGCATACAGCGGCCACCATTCTGACAGGGGGAGCGACTACACAAATCCAGCAGGGTCTAGAGGGGACATGACAAGGCAAGAGATTTTGTGGCAAAATAAAAGCACCCAGCTCCCACCTACAATGACAAAACCCAGGCAGCTTCCCAATCCATCTCCATTAGGTGTCTCCATACTACAACCTCTCTAGGGGCCTGCTTGCAAGGCATATGTACTGGGTTTTTATAGAAAAGATGTAAACTCCATCCAAACTTAGCGGCTCAGGCTTAAACAAGAGAAACCCTGAACCATCTTATTCCCTTTCAACAGAGGCCGGGGTGGATTACCTGGCACTGAGAACCTGTGTAGCCCTGAGGACAGGTACAGCGGTAGGACTGCACACCATCCTGGCATACGCCACCATTGAGGCAGGGCTGTGACTGGCACTCATCAATCTCATGCTGGCAGTGGGATCCTTTGAAGCCAGCCCGGCAGTGGCATGTGTACGAATTCACTCCATCCAAGCATGTGCCACCATTGAAGCAGGAGCTGCCGGAACAAAAGTACAGGAGTCAGGAATAAAGGAAGGAGGAAGGAGGTTATCTACCCCAAGAGACACCCAGCACAGGCTAGGCCTACCCCACCAGCTAACACTTGGCTAGTTGTGCTGGCTTGCATCTGTCTTACACCGAAGTTTCTGTTCTAGGTGAAAAATGCAACTGTGTGATAAGCCTCCCTCCTTACTCAATATTTGACCATTCTTTACAACTGGATTGGATTTGCCTGTAACTGACAACCAGGGGAACTTCAGATCAGCCTCCTGTCACCCTATAGCATCCAGCACTTAATCCCAGGCTTAGTCTTGTGTTCATATGAATAACTATCTGTTTTTACTAACAGAGGAGTTAGAAGCAAAGAGGGGACAGAAGTACACTGTCTCCTTTTAAACAGGATCCTACCTACTTCTGAACCATTCGTCCATCTAGAGTTTTCTAGAACAGAGCCCTTTCCGCACATTGCTACTAAAATAAGACAGTCACTTTGTTCTAAAAAGCAGAGAAGAAAACTCTGGGACCTTATTAAACATGATACAGTGGGGAACGTGCTCGAATATATAAAACATGTGAACTGTACAACAGTAAGCCAACCTTCTTGACTAACTCCTACCATATAGTGCTGTTTGGCTTTGTTCATATGAATGGGGCCAGGTGGCGCTGTGGGTTAAACCACAGAGCCTAGGACTTGCCAGTCAGAAGGTCAGCGGTTCGAATCCCCGCAACAGGGTGAGCTCCCGTTGCTCGGTCCCTGCTCCTGCCAACCTAGCAGTTCGACAGCACATCAAAGTGCAAGTAGATAAATAGGTACCGCTCTGGCGGGAAGGTAAACGGTGTTTCTGTGCGCTGCTCTGGTTCACCAGAAGCAGCTTAGTCATGCTGGCCAGATGACCTGGAAGCTGTATGCCGGCTCCCTCGGCCAATAAAGCGAGATGAGCGCCGCAACCCCAGAGTCAGCCACAACTGGACCTAATGGTCAGGGGTCCATTTACCTTTATCCATTCTGCAAAATGTGCCCTCTGAGTAATACGAGTTGAAAGATAGGTAGACATAAGTCACTGTTCCTCATGACAAACTATCAGCTCACCTGTCAGTGCATTCCTGAACATTCTGCTCACAGTGTAGGCCAGCCCAGCCTGGCGCACAAGTACAAGTGTAGCTGTTGACATAGTCTGTGCAGGTGGCGCCATTGCGGCAGGGGTTACTCAGGCACTCATTGGTCTCAGTTGCACAGTGTATGCCTGTGAAGCCTGGCAGGCAGGTGCACATGAAAGTACTGATGCCATCTTGGCAGGAGCCACCATTCAGGCAAGGATCTGTTGGCAGGGAGAGGAATACTCAGAGGGGTCAAGACAAGCTCTCAACTCTTTCACTATGACATCCTCCAATACAAAAAGACTAAGATCTTTTGTCATGTTTAACTTTGCACATGCAGAATCACGGACAGAATCCAGGAGAGACTGAGGATGGAGCACAGGCATGTTGAATTTTCACTGGCATTAACAGGAGTTAATGTTACATTCAAACATCTCAATCCAAATAAGATCTAGTTCTGTCTGAATATCAGTCGCAGTCACAGTCCACAACCTACTCTTAGTAGTGCTCTAGCCTATATTGGAATAGCTCAGTCGGTAGAGCATGAGACTCTTAATCTCAGGGTTCTGGGTTCGAGCCCCACGTTGGGCAAAAGATTCGTGCATTGCAAAGGGTTGGACTAGGTCTGTGTTTCCCAACCTTGGGTCTCTAGGTGTTTTTGAACTACAGTTCCCATCATCCCTGACCACTGGTCTTGCTAGCTAGGGATGATGGGAGTTGTAGTCCAAAAACACCTGGAGACCCAGGGTTGGGAAACACTGGACTAGGTGACCCTCATGGTCCCTCCCAACTCTACAATTCTATACCTAGTCAAAGAAATCCAAGTTCTGCAAAGTTTAGAAGTCTGAAGTACAAATGGAACCTGCAAGCAATTGTTGCTATGTTAAGCATTCCTGTTCCCCTGCCAGTTTTTTCCCCCCCACCCCACCCACAACAATCCGTCAGCATTCCATGGTCAGTAAGCTTACTCTGTCTTGTTGGACTGTTTAAGAGGAGTGTTTCCCCTTCAAAACTTCTTGTAGTCCTGTGAAAAACTTGGGGTTCACCCAAACCTGCCGATACCTCTCTCTTATGCATGGAGGGTTCTGTTTTGGCTCCATAAGCACTGGCACTCAAAGTTCTGAGTTTGCAATTAGCATACGTGATGCAACACAGATTATGCTTAGGTAAAAGAAAGCAAATTTGCTTAAATCATCTAGTCTGTACCATTTAATTGTCTTAGCATTTTAATTTTCTAAACATAAGCCAAATGACAAGGCACAGCCACTTCCAAAAATGTGAGACTTGGAAGCCAGCTTGGAAAGGCAGATGTCACCTAATGACCTTTTTGCCCAGTTTCCAGTTTTTTATTAGGTTTCCTGTCCTACCAGTGCTCCTTCTTCCTAGAACTTCCACCCAGTTCTTTTTGCTATACTGCCTGGCCATAATAGTTAGCAAGATCTCAGATTCTTGGTTGTTCTTTCCTGTTGTCTCATGTGCTCAATGAACTCACTTGGTTTGCAGTCGTCAATATCCAACTCACAGTTGGTGCCAGTGTAGCCAGGACGGCAGGCACACCTGTAACTGCCATGTGTGTTGGTACAGGTGCCCCTATTTCGACATGGGTCCTGGTCACATTCATTAATGTCAATCTGGCATTGCTGCCCTATGGGGATAAGAAAATATGGTTACTGTTTGTTTTTAAGTTTCTTTTTTCCCCTCCACACCCCCACACCCCCCAATCTACTTCTATTGACTTTTCCATATTGCTGCATCCACTATGTGGAGAAGCAAAAAACCAACAACAATGAAGGAAACAACAAAACAATATCCCAGGCGTGTGTCTACTATCAAATAATCAATCACACAGAATGCATAGATATAAGAAAATTATTAGATTATCCAGTCACAATGTTACCATCAGGAATATTGCTAAATATGCCACATTAGAATGGCAGAACTTCTGGTAAAGGTATTTTGTGAAGTAAAATCAATAAAAGAATGTCAGTTTTACTTCTGAAATTTCTTTTTCACATTTCCATCCAAAGACACTCAGGACAGTGAGCAATACAAACTCAAATTAGTAAAAATGCCTTTATATTTAAAAGCCACCCCAAAATTAAAACAAATTAAAATATAAAACTGGCACATAAGCTCATAGGATTAGATGCCACAATATTTAGAAAAGTACAGGAAGAACGTGGCTCATGAGTCTGAGTACCTTGCCAGCCTGGTGCACAACCACAGGTAAAGCTCTCATAGTCAGGTGTGTGGTCACAGACACCATTGTTCTTACATGGATTGGGGAAACAGGGAGCCAGCACATTCTCACAATTCCGGCCTGTGGGAAGAGAAACAGATAAGGGTACTTGTTTGGATTTCCACTGGCCTAATAGCCATCTTATTCTGAACTATATAACATTTATGTCTTGGACTCAATAGGAATACAAATCAAGTTCAGAGACCAAATGTCTAGCCACAAAGTGATGTCAGTGGGAATTATACTTTATACATAAGGTAAATATAATAAAGTTAATTCAAGAGCCTTCCCAGTCAGTCAGTTTATAGAGTAACAAATGTTTAGCTGCCAGTCATTTGTTGCATGGATCCAGATGTCTTTCTTTGAGGAAGCACTTTTGTTTACACCCATCTCCAGGCTCCCTAACCATGACATATTGCTGCTTTAAAAATGTGGTTTGCAGAAAGCAGATGCTGTTGCAATTTAAAGTGACTTGTAGAATGGAAGTTGCACAAATGCCAAGGGCATCTATTGGATAATGCCTGTGACATCACCAGATGATGAGTGACTCAGATCCTTCTCCCTACCCATGTTGTGACACTGTCGCCTGAACTCACCATGCACAGTGGCAATGCCCAAGAATTAAACATAGTAAAGGCAACATGTGATTCCGTATCATTTTGTTTCTCAGTCTCTCTTTTTCTTTCTCTCTCACACACCACACACATCTATTTCAGCTCTCCAAGCACTCTCCCTTTAGAGCACCCAAGTACATACAGTCGTACTTTGGATCCCAAATGCCTTGCGAGTTGAACATTTTGGCTCCCGAATGCCGCAAACCCAGAAGTGAGTGTTCCAGTTTTCAAACGTTCTTTGGAACCTGAACGTCCAACACGGCTTCCTATCAGCTGCAAGAGCTTCCTGCAGCCAATCGGAAGCTGTGCCTTGGTTTCCAAATGTTTTGGAAGTCGAACAGACTTCCTGAACGAATTCCGAGGTACGACTGTATTATCTTTTAAGGAGGAAGAGACAGACACATGCAATATTCTCCGTCCATTATTTGTGGCCTATCACACCATTGTCCTTTAGCCATTATCTGCATTACTTATCCATGAATGGCTAAAATGCAGAATATGAATTTCTAACATGGCACTCAGTACAAACAATTACTGCTTATTAATCTCTCCCTTCCCAACTGCAACCCTGGCATGGGGTCTGCCATACACGTCCCTTCACTAGATCAAGTCCCTTAACAAGAATTAAGTTTTTGCAGAAGATGTTCAGGTGTTCCCCACCACCCACAGAGCTCACCAGTGTAAGGTAAGTCACAGATGCAGGTATAGCTGGCAATGCCATCAGTGCAGGTGCCCTGGTTGAGGCAAGGGTTGGAGGCACAGTCATTTATGTTGGTCTGGCAGTAGGTCCCTGCAGAAGAACCAGATAAGTATTAAGGTCCCCATAAACACAGATATCCCTGAAGATGAATCTTTCTCCCACTTGTAATGCCACCAACCAACATCAGCTCCCATGAAGGACCAGAAAATGGAACTGGGGGAAAGCTGGGTTCAGATACCTGCAAATCACTCACTAGATCTAGATGGCTCAAACACTGAAGGTTACATAGAAGGCATAACTTTGGACAACAGGCAGAGTATTATCCAGAGGTGGCAAGAGATGAAAAACAGTATGTGGGTGAGATATGTATCTTGGGGTACAGAAGAGCTAGACAGAGGTTGAGCGTGGTGTAAAGTACAGGCAACAAAAGCAAGGCAAGGAAGCCATAGAGACGCATACCCTGAAAGCCTTCTTTGCACTTGCAACGATAGCCATTGACATAGTCAGTGCATGTCCCTCCATGCTGGCATGGGTTGGATTCACACTCATTGTGGTTCACATCACAGTTGGTGCCAGCCCAGCCTGGCTCACACTTACACTGGTACCTGTAGAGGAAAGAAGGGGGGGAAAGGATGAAGAGGGAAAGCGTTTTTACACCCTCCAAGAAGCACCACCCATTGTTAGCCCATTTGACCAGCCTGTAGGAAGTGACTTAATCCACTTGTGTCTTCAGAGCCACCTCATGGGAACAATAGGAGCAAAGCCTGCCTACTCCTGCTGCAGCAGCTCATGCACTTGGGGTAATCAGCTCTCACCCATTGATGTTGTCGTGGCATGTGCCATGCACACATGGGCTGCTGCTGCACTCGTCCACTTCTGAATAGCAATGTGGATCATGGAATCCCTCGGGACAAAGGCAAGAGAAGCCGTCTTCACCATCCACACAGGTGCCACCATTCTTACACGGGTTGGACGCGCACTCATTAATCTCCACGTTGCACAGGGGACCTAAATGGGAGAAAGTACTGCTCAGCAACAGAGTGGCCAAGAAGAAACTTCTTGCTGCTTTCATCCAGCTTTGTCCCCTTCACTACGCATGGATTAAATCCTATAGCAGCTATTGAGCAATGCTACCTCAAGCCCTGCCTGCAAAGCCTAACACTTGCCACCTACATGCAGATTCTGCCACAGTATTCTCTCTTGATTAAAGCTGTAGCTGTTGACTCTGACCCTCTTCAATTTCCCCTACTTCTGCCCTATTCCTGACCAGCAATTCATTCTCCCGGCCATCACCTGTGAAGCCAGGTTTGCAGATGCAGTCATAACGATTGATGCCATCGCGGCAGATGCCATAATCACAGGGGTTGCTGGCACAGTCATCGAAGTTGATCTCACAATTGGCACCTTGGAAAAAAGGATATATCACAGGCCTGAAGAAAGATGCAATTGCCCTACATTGAATGGACCCACAGCAAGCTTGGAAATTCTTTCCTGTCTTGGCTGAGTGACATGTATAGAGTGGAAAGAACTGGTGCAAGTAGGTTTAGATGCAATGAAAGGGAAATTGTTATAGCTTCCTATGCATCATCAATGGATTCTGCCCAATAGCTATGTAAATGGTTAATTTACATAAGGAGATGGTCCCCGCCACCTTGAAAGAGACAGGGGTATGGCCACTCCCAAAGAAGCTGGTTCTTTAGTTTGGACTAACTACTGACCAGTTGTAGGCACTCACTTTTTGGGGGGAAGGTGGTCAAGAGGGTTGTGGCAAGTACAGATTATCTAGACCCGTTCCAGCTGTGGCTGGCCTGATGGGATGATCTTGATCAAGAACAAGAAAAGAGTGCAAACTTGCTCCTCCTTCTTGATCTCCTTTCCTGCCCTGGAGAGGGTTTCCCGCACTCCAAAGTAGCAGGTACACAGCCTGGAGGTGCTTCTGAATCCAGTTTTGTCACTGGAGGCCCAGGTGTGCTCAGTGGCTAAGAGAGCCTTTTCCCAGCTTCTGCTGGTGCAACAGCTGTGACCCGTAACTGGACCAGGATAGCTTGGCAACAGCAGCACAGGAGACTCACAACTTGCACACATTTAACTTGTGCGATTGCAGCTTTACATGCTTGGCAGCCGGCCAGCTGACATCACACAAATTAGATACACGCAAAGCAGACAGCTTATAATAAGCTTAGTATTCACATATAAAAAGCCCTTAACAGCTTATATCTAGTTTATTGGGGGGATTGATTTGCACCATACACGCCTATTTTGCTGCTTTGATCTGAAAAACTTGAGTTTTACAAGTGACATGTAATGTTTACTCTGCATTTGTGAGTCTCTCTTTTAGTATGGCAGCACCTGTGCTTTCGAATTCCCTGCCTATTGACACCAGGCAGGTGCCTTCATTATATTGTTCTTTTTTATTGCAGCAAGCTTTCCCAGGCATTCGTTTAGTTGTGTGTGTTTGTGTGTGTGTGTTTTACTTTGCTAATTTTTATCTTGTGTTTTTATTGATAACTTTATTATATACACAACTTACGAGGGTTTTCTGATTAAACAGTCTATACATTTTTCTAAGAAAATAAACGAAAAGTGTGGTGCTGCTGGATAGGACTGGGAGATGTAAGGAATGAGAGGAAGCAGAGAAAGAGAGCGAGGAGGGATGCCCTACCTGAGGTCCCCTGCAAGCAGTGGCACAGGTACTTATTCACCAGGTCAATGCACTTGCCGCCATGCTGACAGGGATTGCTGTGGCACTCATTGATCTGGTTCTCACAGCGGTATCCCGTGTAACCAGCTGCACAAGTGCAGGTGAAACTGGCAATGCCATCAACACAAATGCCATGGTGGCAGGGATCTGGAAAGCAGTCGTCAATGTTCCTTTCACACAAAGGCCCCTCAAAACCTGTAAGTGAGAGGGGAAATCAGCATCGTAGCAATTCATGCACACAGCAGACTGGGGAAAAGTTTTCCCCTCCCTTCCATTTTCATAACTTTCAGGTCCCTCCAGATACATTTATCTAATATGTTAGAAACGCCCAATGTTTCCTAAACTACCATTTATCTGAAAAGATGCATCCAAACACCCAAATGTAGCAAGCAAAACATTTATTTTTTCCACAACTACTGTTAGTTCTCTGTTTTACCTTTACTTAAAACTGCTTGTGTTAAAAACACTGTAATTTTCAAACTGAGAGTCATTGTTTCGTAAGCCAATCAGATATGCATCTACTGTCCTTTTTTAAGTGTCTGAGCAACTGAGAAGGGATGCCACTTCATGTTTATCAAGCAAGTTAGATACATCAATTAAGAAACTCAACAAAAAATGAGGAGTAACCTAACCCTCCTTTCTCCTTTCCACAATGTGAATGAACTGTGTGCACTAATTTGGCTTCCTTTCCCCTTATCCTAAAACCCATTCTGTGTAGGAGTTTCTTGCAGTCTGTTAAAAAAATCCTACTCTCCCAAGTCCATTTCCTTTAATTCATGGGAATATTAGTTCTCTTTATGATGTGTTGTGGCATGCACTGTGCACCACTAGGTTTCAGAACACAATAAGCTTCCTTGGGAATTTCATGGTGTTAAATTCTGTGCTCATCTTTAAACCAAAGCCATCTAAAAGGAAATAAAACAGAGCCCCTGCAAGCATCAATTTGATCTTGATCTTTCACAACTATCTGGGAATCAGGAATAGAGAAGTTATTTTGCTGAAGGCCTGATACCAAAGTTAGAAAGTGATTTGACACCTTCCCTAAAAAATGTTCACAGATGAAAGACCATGGGTTGGGGAGAAAGCTCACATCACACCCAGCCCGAGCTTCTCAAAAATGGCACCCACGAAAGGCAGATGTAAAGGATGTTTTGGAGAAAATTTTCTCTCGACTGCATCAGATTCTAATTATCCTTGTGCAGTTGTCAACACAACATCCTCATGACTTGAAACAATTCCCTCTCCAGCAGCACAGAAGAGCATGGAAGGCAATAACTCATTGCAGAGAGCAATTACCTTCTGTACAACGGCACTCGTAGGCATTGGGCCGGTCCACACACTTTGCACCATTCTGGCATGGTGTGCTGGCACACTCATCGATGTCAATCTGGCACATGGAGCCTGAGAAGCCTGAACCCAGAAAGAAAAAGTAGTCAAACAAACCAGATGGACCAACAAAATGAGGAACATGCACTCAGTCTGGCAACATTAACATACGTGTTGCATTTCACCCAATATACACAAGACAAGATCCAAACAACACACACAGAAAGAACACTTGTTATCCACTCCGATGGATGAGAATCTTACACTAACATCTGCGCTATATATAAAAAGGAGCAGGGAAATGGACGCTCAGTGCTGCAGTGGAAGAGTGGAACTATACGTATAGCCACCTCTTGTTCCCTAGCTGGGTTTCACATAGAGCTGAGTGAAAAAAGCTTGTGTACTTGGAAGTTCCCAGCTGTTAGAGGTAACAGAGGACTTTACAAGTATATCTGAAAAGGGCACAAGCGAGGCTGGCAAAAGAATTAAGTGTATACTCATTCTCAAGCTAAGTGTCTGAAGTGGGTACACAGCTAGAGCAAGCCTCGAATAAAATGATAGTTTGGACTGAAAGCTCCAGATAAAGAGAAAACAGGTTAGCATTGGGAGGAAAAATTATGTGGGGCAGGAGTCCTCAAACTTCATCCTGGTTGCACAGCACAGCCCTACCACCAGAGGCCTATAGCAAAGGCTCTCAATGTTCTCTCCCCCTCCTCTCCACAGGGGGCTTTGCGGTGTCTGCCCCACATGTAAATTGGGTTCAGGGGCCTGTGCGACAGGCTGGGGGAACAAAGATACCATTGTCCCAGCTCCCACACAGCAAGCTATAGGCCTGTCTGTCAATCAGCCGTGGAAGCAACTGAATGGAGGACAGGACCCCCCACCCGCTTGGTAGCAGAAAAGCGGAGCAAGTCCTGGGGAATGAGCTGAACACACTCTCCTTAGGGCTACAGTTGCATCCCATACACTGACAAAGAATTCCCCAAGCTGGACTCCTAGCTCAGCAAAGAAAACTTACACAAACTGTACCACAGTGCAAGGGATGAAAGGAAGCACAAGGGGCAGTGTGAGCTCATGAAAAACTACAGCACAGCTCAACTTAAGAGACTTAAATTCAGCTGAATTCACACAAGGGGCAGACATTTCCTAACCTCAGGAGAAGGGATGAAAGCAAGGCTCCTTACAAACAGGGCATATGCTCACCAGCTTTATCAAAGTAAGGTCTGGGCAGGTTTCAGATACACACAAACATGCAGACTATTTTAAGAGGCCTGAGAAGGAGCCCTGTGGGGGACAGGCTCAAGTTCACCTGTGCTATGCCAGGCAGGGAGGACAGGTAAGAGAATGATGCAGTGCCATTTATCTCCTTGCTGGAAAAAGCCCTTGGCTTACCGGAGGGACAGGTACAGCTGAATCCATTGACAATATCCTTACAGACGCCACCATTGACACAGGGATTACTCTCACACTCGTTGATGTTGATCTCACAGTAAGTGCCACTGAAACCTGCAACCAAGAGGAACCATTTGTTATTACAATGATTAGACTCACCAGTGTGTCCATCACTGTAGCACCACAACCACAGTGAGACAAAGGGGTCCATCTCATTCTGGCAGGCTCATGCCTAGGAATACGAGCTTATTATTACATGGCAATGGTGCACAATAAATAACAGCGTTTTGCTTCAAATACAAGGCATTAAAAACAAAATCCCAATTTTTAAAGCTTGTTCCTTATAGTTACTAACTTTAAGAGGTAAAAATGATCAGACAGACAGTTTAAGGCCCTTCTAGTAGGAAGAAGGGGGGGGGGAATTCCCCCAAAACTCCAACTCCATCTTTGCTGTCTCTACAAGTCTCCCTGCATCCCATTCCTTCCTCTCCAATATTGCCCCACATCCCCACTTTACCATTATGGTACATACAGCACCTATCCTAACACAACTGTCTTAAGTTTACTGATGGTGGAGTAAGCATTCCATGCATCAAACTTGATCATGTGTTAGTTCTACTAATTCAAAGCAATGTTTATATAATCTGTGCAACTGCCGAGCTTATTCCATTTTCAATTAAGCAGAAGTTCTGTTCCCGCTCCTTCCGTGTCACGACAGCTCAGTGATGGGCCACATGTTTTGCAAGCTGAAGATCCCAGGATCAACCCCTGGCATCTTCAGGTTAAAAGAATCAGGAAGTAGGGTATGTGAAAGACCTCTGCCTAAAAACCCTGCTTCCACTTAAGATAATACTTGGCTCGACAGTCAAGTTGCTTATGTGTTCCTGATAAGAGAACTGCAGGAACACAAAGAACAGATGAAAATACAGCCAGCAGCTGGAACCAGTGGTAGAAAAGGAAATCAAAAAGTACACCAGGCACATTATTATTGATTTATTTTATTAAATTTATTACCTGCTCTTTATCTAAAGTTCCCAGGGTAGGTTAACAACAATAAAATATGCAATTACAAAATAAATAAAGCAGTTAATGCACACAGAAATTATGGGTGCAAAAATACACATCCGGAGCTATCTTATACCAAGTGAGGCTGTAGGGTCTATCTAACCCAGTATTGTCTACTCTGACTAGCAGCACCTTCTAAGGTGTTTAGGGACTGCTCTTTTGACCAAGACTGTCTATTAACCAAAGACTGACCACTTCTGCAAAGAATGTGTTCTACCGCTGCGGTATGAGTCCTCCGTCTCGCTGTGGAGGTGAGAAAGGAGTAAAACAGTGAGGCACTGGACATGCCATGCATAAGGTTAGCACAACGGTATCCTGATTCTCTAGGCAAGGGGGTTAAGCAGGCTCTGGTCAATAGAAGAATGACCATCCTGAATTTGCCCAACTGCTGGTCTGTGTACACATGCTCCAAGGAATCCTTGCAGCTATAAAGGCACAGAATTGCATGACTAACCCTCCAGGCTTTGCTATTCCCAGCCCTTCGCCACTGTAATAAAAACAGTGAAGTCTGCTTCTCCGATGAATAGCTTGCTGGCAAGCAGCACTGAGGAAATAATCAAGGCCCACCCCCACTTTCCTTGACTACTCATAGAGGGTCTGAGTTGCTACAGCCTAATAGTATCAGTCTCAGCTCCTGGCTGAGACGCCATCTCCACTCCCTTAAGCTACTCTCCCTACCAAAGTGGAGACAGGAGGGGCAGAATTTTCTCACATAAGAAGGCACTTAAAATTTGTCTCCATATGAACCTTTTTAATGGGCAGTGTCTCCAGGAGTTTGCTTGTATCTTCATCTCTGAGGGGGTGGTAAGAGAATGCAGCATTTTGTGGGAGGAAACTCCTGTTTCCAATTTGGAGAGAAATCTCTATGCAAGGGGGAAATCTCAAGAGTGAAGGCAACTTCTAATCTCGTAGTTCTAGCTCACCAGAGCCAGGTTTCCCAAATCCTTGGGGGTAGTAGAGGAAAAACCTAAAATGGTTGTGACTCAATAACCCTACATAGCTCACTTCCTCCAAGTATCCTTGAGGCAGAGAATCTTCTTGCCTCTGATACTGTGTAGAAAGGAAGGGTGGAGAACCTTTGGTCTTCCAGATGTTGCTGGACTGCAACTCCCATAATCTCTGACCATGGCCCATCCTGGCTGGTGCTGATGGGAGTTAGAATACAACAACACCTGGAAAGCTACAGGGTAGGCAACTCTGATATAAAAGATATGCCCACTCGCCTTGCTTATTTCATCCACATTGGGAAAAAGTAATGGGAAAGTAAGAAGCTCCTTGGCAGGAAATGACGGGATGGAAAAGAAAGAGGGAGAGAACAGTGGGGGGAGAGTTGAATACTCTGCTTCTCTCAACAGATAAAATAAACAAAGCTGGGAATTGTGAGAGGAAGTTCCAGTGACATAGGAGGAATGGGAGGGTGATGTAGCTCTGGAGCTTACACCATAAAAAGGAGGAGAGCTGAGGCTATGTGGGGGAGCTTGGAACCATAGCAATCAATGTTTCCCTTTTTAAAAGGGAAATTCCCTTATTCTGAATAGGATTCCTCGCAAGAAAAGCTATGCTTGGAACAGTTTGGTTACATGTGTCTGGTGCAACACTTTGTCTCAATGAATGGAATTGAAGATGTGAGGCTAGCAGTAGGGAGGGGAGATGAGTTTCAAGAACTGTGAGGACTGCAGGAGTAACAGGAGTCAGAGATGACACACTAGTGAAAATGCTGATTTGGGTTTCAAGAATTGGGGCTACACACAAAACAACTTGCTTTCCAGAACTGTTTTCCAACCAAGTAGTAGAAGAGCATTCAAACTAACACTCCATGTCCCAGTCAAAAACTTTTTAAGATTTAATGTTTCCGCTTTGGGAGGGTGATTTTGTAGGAGAGGCACTCCACTGTGTGCTGGGCTCCTAGTTTTTGGAGCTGCTTGCCAAATATCTAGGCAATACTTCAACCCTCTTGCTTCATCCTGATCCTGGGGGAAATGACTCCAGAATGCATCAATACTGGGCTAAGCACAGCAGTGCAACACTAAAACCAAGTTCTCTCGCCCCTAGACCAAAGCCATTCTCAGCTAGCAGGACCCACCCCTTCCCCAGATTTTTATTTATTTATTTTTTTACAAAAAGCCAGCATTAACCAATGAGTGAGCAAGCAAGGAGAATGTTCCTCCCTATATGGGGTAACGGAAACACAAAGCACAGTCAATTCACATCACCCGCCAGGCCGGCCCCACCATTAATATTCCAAGCACAATGCTGCGCTCCCACTGTCTGTATGAACATTGTATCGATTTACCCAGCACCCCAGTCCTATAGCTCTGCCACAATGGGAGGAGGGACAGCTGTATAGTCATCCCTCACTTTCCAGGGATTCCTCCATATGTATATGCTTTCTTCAGCCACCAAACCGCTTCTAAGGCTCTCGGCTTGTTCCTCATCCCAAGCCCACAGAATTGCAATGCCATTTGGGGGCAGGGGGGCGGGGGAGATGAAACAGCAGAATACTCCTCCAGGGACCCTGAACGAAGCCTCCACTATTCACAATAGTATCTTGCTTCCTGAAACTTTCTGGGCCCTTCTCCTGAATCTGTATTTGCCAGCTCTACTGAAAGTACAAACCAAACATGTTCTTGCTTTGTAACTGTGGGGAATACAAAGCCTGGAATCTAGCAGGGAAAGGCGCAGGTTAGACTGCTATACCTTGTGGCTATTCCCACAACAGTCTCATACCAATCTAACTATTGTATCCCCCCTGCCCACGCACATCTCTTAGTTTGGAGAATACCACCCACACACTGAAGAATCCAGGCCTAAGAGGAGCAGGCAGTGTGAAAGAAACTTCCTGCTGATATACTCAAAAAAGAACAGGCACAGCCAACGAGACATGGAAGTGTCATAGTCTGAGAGGCACCTCCTGTCTCAAGTGTCTAGAACATGTGAAGAGCAAAAAGAAAGCCACTCCACAGAGCCTCAGTGTAGATCAGTCAGGTATGCTAACACCTGGCAGACAAGATACAGTGGTACCTTGGGTTACAGACGCTTCAGGTTACAGACTCCACTAACCCAGAAATAGTACCTCGGGTTAAGAACTTTGCTTCAAGATGAGAACAGAAATCATGCAGCGGCAGTGGGAGGCTCCATTAGCTAAAGTGGTGCTTCAGCTTAAGAACAGTTTCAGGTTAAGGACAGACCTCCAGAACTAATTAAGTTCTTAACCCGAGGTACCACTGTACTTGGGACAGGAAGCTTTAGGGAGCCCAAGAGCAGAGGCTGCTCTACAATCATTTACATAACATTTTTTGAATGATCTACACTTTACACAGAGCTTCACAACAGCTCTGAAACAGGTCACTGACATTTTCACTTTTAAAAGCAAATTGAAATAAGGAAGTGACTTATCTAAGCCCACTCAGGGAGCCCATACTTAGCAGGGAATTTTACCTCAATTCTTGCATACCCAGTCGCCTACCTACTCTCTCCCCACATCTCATGCTACCCAAGATGCAGTCCTGGATAGGATGAGCACTCTGCTCCCCAGAGCCAGGAAACTCACCTGACATGCAGATGCAGGTAAACTCGCCAATGCGATCAAGGCAGGTAGCATCATTCTGGCAAGGCATGGAGAGGCACTCATTGATGTCTGTCTCACAGCGGGGACCTGTGTAGCCACGTCCACACTCACACCGGAAGGAGCCTTGCGTGTTCACACACTTTCCGAAATGCTCACATGGATTGGCTCCTGGAGAAGGCAAATGCACATGAAGTGAACATGGCTGGTTCAAAATTACTTCTTCTCTGCCTTCACTTAAGGCAGGGGTGCATAATCTGCGAACCTCCAAATGTTTTTGGACTACAACTCCCATCAGCCCCAGCCAACATAGCCAGTGATCAGGGATAATGGGAGGTGTAGTCTAACAACATGTGGAGGGCCGCAGGTTGTGCACCCCTGATTTAAGGGATAAACCCAGACAAGGAACGAGAAGGGCATACCAGCAGAAGCAGATCCTTCTCTCAAGTGTTTTACTTGTCAATATCCCAACCCAAAGAGCTGGCAAAAGTCCATCTCAGTGACCCCTCTCACATGTTAGAGAGGCAGTCCTCCTTCCTTCACCTTTTGGAATTGCAAAAGGGTGCAGCTGTCTTACCAATGGAGCACTCATCCACATCCTGGTCGCAGGCCCCTCCGGTAAAACCTGGTGGGCATGTGCAGATGGCACGCCCATTCATTGGGTTGGTGTCACAAATGGCATCCTCATGGCAAGGGTTACTGACACAGGCATCGTCCAAGTGACAAAGAAGGCCTGGAAGAGAAAAGGCCATGAAAGGCAATCACTTGACAGCAAAAAAGGAGGAGTGTAGAGAATGGGATGGAATTTATGGACAAGGGGTATCAATTTCCATATGTTGTTCATGTTCAGCAATGTCCTTCCATTTCTGATTGACACCCTATCCTTGTTATCCAATATCCCTTTAATCCACTCTATTCTTTTTACGCTGACCAAACCCTTCAAAAATTCTGCCCAAACCAGTTGGCCAGAATAAAAACATATGACGTGGACACATTATGCAAGGTAGGAGCCAGTTACCTGTCTTGCCCATAGGACATGCGCAGTAGAAGGAAGCCACACGGTCATGGCAGGTAGCACCATGGAAGCAGACCGCTGTCTGACAGTCATCAATGTTCTCACTGCAGCTCTCCCCTGTCCAGCCGTTGACGCAAACGCATGAATGCCCCCCATTGGTATTGAAGCAGGTGCCTCCATTGTGGCAGGCGTTGGGTTGCAGCTGGCATTCATCCACATCCTCATTGCAGTGCTGGCCTACAGTGCAAAGAAGGTGGGGCTTAGTTCACTAAAAGACCTTCTCATCAGGGATGGCCTAACAGCTGCAGCACCACCTCTCCTTCCCCCATGCACCCCAATACCTCCACCCTCGCAACCCTGAGTTACCTTTTCCCTTGCCCACCATGCACCAAGCCAGATTAAAGCCAGTGTTTTCCCAAACTAGAAAAAGGTAATATTTCTTAACTCATTCTCTAAAACAGTTGGCCTTCCTGACTTAGAGGCTAATATTAAGTTAACGCTGTATAGAGAAGAAAAGAACATTTCCCATCTCTGCCCAAATCCTAGATAGCTCCCTATGTTTCCTATTAAGGCCCTTAAAATCCTAGGCTGTTCCTATCACATTCTGGTTCCTGGACCAATAATAATGCAGTACCTGTCCACTCTGGGGGACACTGGCAGTTGTAAGTGTTGACGCCATCCACACAAGTGCCTCCATTCATGCACATGTGGCCTGGGCAATCATCTATGTTAATCTCACAGTTGTGTCCCTTGAAGCCTGAAAAGGGAGAAAGGGAGATTTTAGCCCAGCCAGTAACTGTAGAAAAACTGTTGCTAGTAGAGAAAGAAAAATCCTCCCAACAACCCACCATTCCATCCCTAATGTGCAACTATGGGTTGTAATCTTTTGCACACTTTCCTAGGTGTCAATTTCATTGGCCACAGGGGGACAGTTTCAAGCTTGACAAGGCTTGGTAAACACCACAGAGTCACACTGAGCCCCTGAGCAATGCAGCGCCCCTCCTCTATTCTAAGCTCTACTTGTTCCAAATCTCTGACTAGAACAAGGAAGAAGAATTAGCTGAGCCTTCCACTACACTCTGGCTCCTGCAGTCAAAGCCACATGTGCTGGCTGCCAAGTTCCCCCGCTTCCTCCCACTGCCTAGATTGTTTCCTTCCTGCTCCACCAAAGCTCTCAACAGCTTCCCATGAGCTTCCTGACAGGAGAATAGTGAAGCATGCCACGGTGTAGCCAGAGAAAAGGGTCAAGCTTGAGTCCCAAGTGTAACTCTACGCCCAGCTGCCCTGAGGGATCGTCCCACCCTAAAATCTACCTGCTTAGTACTCCATCCCACTCCCTTACAGAAGGTACAAGCAAAGGTACACTTTGCAAATTGTTCACTCACCAGGTAAGCAAGCACACTCGTAGCTGAGTTCTCCTGTCTGACGGCAAGTGCCGCCGTTGAGACACTGAGAGGGGGCGCAAGGTGTGGAGATGCTCTCACACTGCTGCCCTGTGTAGCCAGCTTGACACTGGCAGTGGAAGGAGCCAGGTGTGTTGATACAGGTACCCCCATGCTGGCATAGGCCAGGCACCCGACATTCATCCACATCACTCCGGCAGTTGCGGCCCTGGTAGCCTGATGGGCATGTACAGTTATAGCGGCCATTCCAGTTGGTGCAGCGGCCACCATTGACACACGGCTTGCTGGCGCAGGCATCAAACAGAGAGCAGTCTTGACCTAAATGGAAGATGATGTACCAAGTGACCTAGAAGGTTACTTCTTCCCCAGAAGGCCAATTTTCTCACCTACAATCTGGACCCATCCTCCCTGGAGAATGTGCATTCCCATCTCCCAGCAAAGCAATCTTTATCAGGAATATGAAACGCCTGTGGAGCTTCTACACAAAGACACACGCTGCATCTCACCACATTGCGTATTCTTACCTCGAAAGCCCTTGGGACAGGTGCACTGGTAGTGCACAGTGCCATCACGCAGAGTGCTCTCACATGATCCCCCATTAGCGCAAGGTGACTGATGGCAAGGGTCTTGAAACTGGCAGTGCTCTCCAATCAGTCCAGGCTGGCATCTAGCAGAGACAGACAGACAGAGTTTACTAGATGACATCTGCCACTCATGCTATCCCTAATGTACACAAGTGCTATTCTGGTGCCCAATGGACTAGTGACGGACTAATTCAACAAGCAGTTAGACCCACCTTTTATCATACCCCTTTCTGCCCTTTCACCAAGGAATTGGGAGCCACAACAGAACAACACAGGAACCTGCAAAGTGGCTTAGCACGAGCATGTCTTTTTCCTCTATTGAGAAACAATTCACTGAAGACAACTTCCTGTTGCTCACACTAAACTACTCCATCAGTGTGTGTCATCTGCAGATTCTGCTAACTGCCCACACTTACCCTTTGCCAAGCTGAAAATAGATATCTTAAACATTGGCCTTCTGTCAGGTTCCAACCAACCATTTCCTCTTACCAGTAAATTCCGGGCAGATCTAAGAAAAGTCTTTTCCCCTCCCTATATAAGATTTTGTCAGCAGGTCTCACTGCAAAACATCGAGGGAAATAAGGATGGGACAATGTTTATACAGATGGCATTCAAGTCGGTTCTGTACCCTCAAGCAGAGCTGTTATGTTGAGAGTAATTCATACAACCTCGGGGCACAGCTATGGTCCAGATGGTTGTGGTTCTTAACTTATCATTTGATGGTTTGGACACCCTCGTTTGTAATATATAGTATTGTCCAAAAGCAGAACGGAAGGCTAGATCAAAGGTTGAAAGAGAAGTCCAAAACTTGTATGTAAATACCCAATCAAGCAACTCCAGCAGAATCTTAATAATCTCACATTTAATGGTATATTAAAGATGCCTGATTATCTAATGAAAAGGATAAATAATGTATTCTAGCTCAGAAAACTGGAGTTTCATGTAGTTAGAAGAATGAGACTTTAAATTCGGCAAAGTCCCTGGTAGTTCCTGACCTTATCCAAATATTACTCCCACAAGATTCCTTAACACCCAGAATCATCTTCTAGTACCAGACAAAAATATTTTAGTCCAACTCAGGAAGCCCAGGCAAACTATGTAGAATTAATGATCAACGAGGTCCAAGAATCCACACCTGTCCAACAATGCCTAGAAGCAAACTGGGTAGCGTCCAGAAAAGCTTTTATTTTGCTTAGGCACTGATCAAAGTTTACTTTCTGCAGCCACCTGCCCCCCTCCCTGGGTAACTGGACAATCTTGTTTCTGGTGAGAAATGTAGCTCTCGTTAAGGAGGATGAAATTGTGTTATCTAACTGAGGCTGATAGCTCAAGGCCAATATGGCAGCCTGCTTAATTAACAGCAACTGTGCCTCTGTGGGAACGAACATATTCAAGTACTGGAAGGTTCTGGCCAAATAAGCTCTGATTGGCTGGGAACTTCTGGTCTGGTTGCTATGTTATTTGCTAGATGTTTGGGTTATTCCTTTAGTCCATGCCTCACACCTTTTCCTGATGCCTGAGCACTTGTTTGTGATGTTTGTTCCTGTGGTGTGAGGTCAAGTAGGTTTATATTAGACTACGTTTGATAGTTTTGTTGTTTTATGCTGCCTTGTAATTTTCCCATGTCTACAGTATTCTTTTATCTCTACTTTTTACAGGTTCTCTCTTATATATTATTTATATGCATTGTACAGAAACTACCTCACTCAATTTTCTAGTGTTCTTTATTCTGGAATGCCTGGAAACCTAAGCCCAGCGATGTAGCCTTCTTGGTCAACTGTTACTGCACAATATTTCTGCTCAAGACTCAGATGGCAGAGAGTGAACTTTTAGCTGTTATCTATCTGACTCTTCAGGGATATGCAGTGAGGTGTGGTGATAGTCTTTAATTTTTGCAGGTCTGGTTAGACAGCTCTAGTGGAATTTTTGTATTAGCTTGGGCCTAACAAAATTCCTGGTTTCCTGAGTTTGCAAGCTGGGCAATCTTGACAGGTAGAAAAGCTTGGGGATGTCCCTCTGGTGGCCTGAAGTTTATTTATTCTATTTTATGTATTGAATTTGTACACTGAACTTCATCCAAAGATCACAGGGTGATTCACAACATAAAAATACAAAATAAAAACACAAACTACTTAATGAAACAAAACCTAATACCACCCCTCTTCCACAAACACAGTAATCAGCCAAAGGCCTGGTTATAATGAAAAGCTTTTGCCTGGCGCCTAAAAATATGTAACGAAGGCAGCAGGCGAGCCTCCCTGAGGAGAGCATTCATCTCATGTTGCCACCCTCTGGACCTCTCATGAAGGAGGCACACTTAGAAGAGTTTCAAATCATGATCACAGGCAGTCTTTGAGATATGGCGGTCCTGAGCCTTTAAGGCTTTATAGGTCAAAACCAGCACTTTGAATTGGGCCCAAACCTAATTGGCAGCCAGTGCAATCGGGTCAGGATCAATGTAATAAGCTGAATTCTGCACCAGCTGAAGTTACTGAACTGTCTTCAGAGGCAGCCCAATGTACAACACATTGGAGTAATCTAACCTATAGGTTACCAGAGCATAGACAAGAGAAATTAGGTTATCCCCGTCCACATAGGGGCGGAGTTTCCATTTGCTCCAGCCTAATCTCTGTCAACTCCCTATATCCTGATGGACAGTTGGGGAGAAGTTTGCATTGGCCCACACAAAATGAACAAGCTAAGGAAACAAGGACAAGTGGCCACTGAGGACTGAGGGAAGGACAATACAAACTATAATGAATGACACACATACATTGGGGTAGGGAACTCATCCCTCAACTTCCCTGGGCTTTCACATCGTATTCTCATTTGCAGGATCCAGCAGATTGCCACAAGCAGTTCTGTCCACCCATTCAAAAATGCTCTCTGCCAACCCCAAGAGGGACAAGATAGCAAGGGGTGGCATAGGTAAAGGTAAAGGTAAAGGTAAAGGGGTGGCATAAGCAGCACATAGCTCCCTTTCCTAATTCCTGGCCATCCTGGAGTCTTCGAAAGGGGGTTCCCAATCCAAGCTCCACAAGCTTTCCCTGTAAATGCAGCCTCCCTGAGCCCTCCGGCCTGCCACTGCCATGACAACACAGAAAGCTGTTTGCTTTTCTGCCCAGCCTGAACAGCAAGTCCTGGGCACTGGCTGAGACAACAGTCAGGGCCTTACAGCCCAAAGAGGAATTGGACAAGGAAAAGGAATGTCTGAGCAAACGACATGCCTCCCCCCACCGCCACTGGGCAAAAAAGAATAAGAAAACGGAAACAGCCATACTGTGGGATATGTCAACTGACCAAAGCTGTTTCTCTGCAGAACAAATCTAGAGCATATGTAGTGGTGAATTTTGTGTGAGTGGTAGCCAACTAAAAGTTAACCCAGGGTGAAAGGCTGGCTGCTGAGTAGTTCCAGTTGCCATGGGAACTCAGGAACTCGGAGGGAAAATGGGATAATTGAAAACTGCAAGCTGCGGAAAGATCTGTCTGAAACCTGCAATGGGCTCAGTCTGAAAATTGGGAAGATCCAGCCTGAAAATGGAGGAGGGGAGCTCTGCTTCAGTGGAGGCAAATCACAGCCTCCTAAACAAGGAGGGCAGGGAGATGAGAGGGGGAAGGCCCAGCAGGTCCAAAGAGGAAAGTGGACACTGTCCAGTCACTGGAGTCCCAGAAGATGGTATGAAAGGACTGGCATCTGAGAGGAAGGCTGCCCACAACACTTAAGGCTGCAAAACAACTGTGTGTAAACTGTAAAGAAATTGGGAGGCACTGGGGTGGTATTGTCCGATTTGTAGATTTGTATGCATTTGTTGTGTAAAATCAGCTAGCAGCAGTAGTTTAGATTTAATAGCAGCCAAAACATGCAAGTTATGGTGTCTGTTGTTTAGCAATTAAATTACTTGCTCGCCGAAGTTTAACTTTCCATCATAAATCTAAAGCTTGTCTCTCTAAGCAAAATTGAATACCACTCTGATTGAAATCCATGCAGTGAGGAGAAGTGGCAGAAAGATATTTCCAGATTTGTTTGGCAGGGCAAGAAGCCTCGAATAAAATTTAAGATACTAACTGATGCCAAAGAAAGAGGTGGATTTGCCCTGCCAGACCTTAAACTTTATTATGAATCAGCTGCTTTTTGCTGGCTGAGAGAATGGCTGCTTCTTGAAAGCACTGACGTGTTTGATCTAGGTTTCAATAATGTATTCGGTTGGCATGCATACTTGTGGTACGATAAGGTAAAAGCACATAAAGCGTTTAAAAATCATTTTGTTAGAAAAGCATTGTTTAATGTCTGGATAAGATATAAGAATTTGTTAGAAAAGAAAACCCCAAGATGGTTGTCACCAATGGAAGCGAAGGCACAGAAAAAACTCAATATGGAGGCCAAATGGCCGAAATATTGGGAAATTCTGGATCAAGATGGAGACAGAATAAAATTGCAGAGCTTTGAAAAATTGAAAAATAAAGTGAGAGATTGGCTCCATTATTAACAAATAATGGAGGCATACAATTTGGACAAAAAAGTTGGTTTCCAGGTGGAAAAATCAAAATTGGAAACAGAATTGTTAGATCCAAAAATTAAGAATTTGTCAAGAATGTATAACTTGCTGTTGAAATGGAACACTCAGGATGAAATGGTGAAATCAGCTATGATTAAATGGGCACAAGATGTTGGACATAGCATAATGATGGCTGACTGGGAACAGTTATGGACCACAGGTATGAAATTCACGGTATGTAATGCCCTAAGAGAAAATTTAATGAAAATGATTTATAGGTGGTACATGACACCAGTCAAGCTTGCAAAAATTTACCATTTGCCCGATAATAAATGTTGGAAATGTAATGAGACTGAAGGTACATTCTTTCACCTTTGGTCGACATGCCCAAGGATTAAGACATTCTGAGAGATGATTTATAACGAAATGAAAAAGGTATTCAAATATACCTTCCTGAAGAAACCAGAGGCCTGTCTCCTGGGCATGGTCGGCCAATTGGTGCCAAAGAAGGATAGAACTTTTTTTATGTATGCAACAACAGCAGCAAGAATACTCATCGCGAAGTATTGGAAGACACAAGATTTACCCACCCGGGAAGAATGGCAGATGAAGTTGATGGACTATATGGAATTGGCGGAAATGACTGGCAGAATCCGAGACCAGGGAGAAGAGTCGGTGGAAGAAGACTGGAAAAAGTTTAAAGACTATTTACAGAAATACTGTAAAATTAATGAATGTTAGAAAAATGTTGGAATTAAGTTATATGGCTTTAGTAGAAATGTTATAAGGAATTAAGTATAAATAGATTAATAGAGAATTATAAGGAAAAATAAGGTTAGAATGTGTTAAGATAATTATAGGATAGAAAACAGAGGAAGATGGAAAGGAATTGCTGAAACAATTAACAGAAGTGGAATACAAAAAGGGAGGTGTGAGGAGGTCGTGGAAATAAGTGAATGAAAGATAAGATATTGAAATTGTTTGAAGTGTTTAACTGTTTTTGTTTTGTTTTGTTAGTTTAATGTGTTAGTGTTATGTAGTGTTTTTGTATTGTATTGTATTGTTTTTGTAGTGTTTAAATTGTTGGAAAAGTAATAAATATTATTTTTTTAAAAAAAAGAAATCCATGCAGTGAGGGTTCAAATACCCATCCAAGGAAGCGTTGTAAACAAAATACTACATGTGTCTTTTCAGCAAACCATCCCCACTGTGGGCCTGTTTTCCAAGCAAGTTCAGCTGCTCCACTCAGCATCACTAAGCTTTAACAGTATTTACTTACCCAGTTGGATACCGATGTCATGAGATGACCAAGTCCCAAGTAAGGTTCCCACCCTCCCTTCAATATTCAATTGAGCTCAGAAAATCAACCATAGTCGATCCTGGCCCCCCAAAGCAGGCCATCCTAAGTGTCCTATTAGCCTCCAGCCCAAATGTACTGAAGTGTGACCTTATCTTTCAAACAACCTACAGGCTGACTGAACATAGATGCACGCATATGCTGATAGGTTAGGAGGCGACAGAACCAATTTATTGGATTGTTCACTGGGTTTTAGCAGGCCTGTATACTTCCCTCTTCCAGCTTCTAAGAATGTAGTCTTCAAAAGAAGGTACGGTGTTTCTAGATTGTAGGTTATGATGTTTACTACTGTGGAAGATGTAAGACCAAAGATAGTTGGTCTTTCCTTTGGAGAGAGGAAAAATTGCCCTTGGGAAGACTGAGTGTTCTGAGAATAATCCCCCAACTCAGTGGTTTTCAACAAGTGTTCCATGGCACCCTGGGGTGCCTTGAACAATAGTCAGGGGTGCTGCAGGCAACACTGGCCTCTGTCCCTCTTTCCTTCCCTCCCTCCTGATGCCCTCTTGCGTCTCTGCCTCCCAAAGGCTTGCACAGCTGTTTGTTGCAGCAGTCCTTGCTACAAGCTCCTCAGGCGAATGGTGCCTCTGTAGCCAGCCAGGGGTTGCTTCCCAGGCCCCTGTGGGGCAGTTTGATGAGGCATCTCTCTTGGGGGGGGGCAACTCAGAGACCAGGGGCGGCAGCTGCAGCTGCCCAGGGGAGAGGAGAGGAGGCTGAGGGAACACTCCACAAAGGAGGGTGTTCGAAAAAGGGTGAGAGGCTGCCAGATCTTCAGGCAAGGGGTGACATAACTGGGCTCCTGAGCCCCACAGGGGTGCTGCAGAAAGAATGTAGTTGGTCAAGGGAGCCATGGACTTAAAAAGGGAGGAAACCTCTGCCCCAACTGATCACTGTATATAAAGCCAGGGAAGCACATCCACAAGCCAGATTGGAAGGGAGGAAGATATGACTTCCTCTTGAAATGTGGTTTGGTTCATTTGTTCAAGCCATCCATAGCTATTTGCTTTGCAAAGTTGTTTTGTAAGGCAGGAATGCCAACTGGCCACTGAAGGGAGGGGTATAAATTTTAGAAATAAATAAATATTTGCTCTATAGGCACATTACTGCAAGACATCTGCTCCCTAGGTGTGCTGAAAGACGAATGGCCTTACCTTGTGGCAAAAGCTGTGGCCATAATTCTGTTGCCACGAAAGAGGAAAGCCACACTCATAGTAAAAGAGATGAGTGACCCAAAGTAGAGGCAGACAAACCAGGTGTGAGTCAGTTATATAAATCTCAGAATGAGCAAACATGAATCTATTTGGCCAAGTGTGTATTTGGGCCAAAGTAGGCAATACATTATGAGTGTGCTTTGTGTTTACTTAACTTTAAAAATAAAACAGTGGCGGGAGATTTAACCCTTTACCCTTTGGACTTCAGTCCCAGTGAAAATTGCTTCTTGAAGTTACTATTTCCCTTAGGAAGGAAGGTGCCACTGGCACCAATTACAGCTTGTAGTCCAGGATAAATAGCAAGTTTAATAGGAAGGCAATTTTCACTGAGACCACAGCAAAAGTGGTCAAGAACACACACAATATTCCCACCAATTCCCACGTTGTTTTTTCAAAAGGCACATATGCATTTAATTTATTGTTTAGTTTCGCCCTTTGTGACAATGGGCTATAGTTGCTGATGCACAGAGTCCACACTTGCCAAGTACCCCCCCCCCCCAATGGGACATTCTGTTTGTCAGTGCGAGGTTTCAGCGGCCATTTTGGGTGACTTGCTCTCGCACTGTGCTCTCACCCCGAAAAAGCGCTTTCTTCAGGGCGAGGTGCAGGTCACATGACTCGCCCAGCAACATGTCCCGGAAGACACGTGTCCTGGATTTGAATGTGAAAAAGTTGGGCAGTTTGAGAGTCTTTGCAGCCTCCTAAGGCACAGAGGGAAACAAACAGGTCTACAGCAAAACTATGCTCTGCGCCAACAAGCAGGGCCTTGTTTATTTACTGAGCACTCCCTCTTGCCCCAGGCCAGTACAAGGGCAATCTCACTTACCAGTTGAGGGTGGCTAGGTGCCCCAAAGAAGAAAGCCTCTTCTTTCAGCACAGGGAACCAAGCCTTGGCACCATGTCCCTACCTGCTCACATCCGGGGAGTAGAGCTGGTTTTTTATAGCTCTCCCTGGGGCTGTGATTCACCAACTGTGTCTGCACATGTCGCTCAACACTCTCTGACTCAGCCCTTACCCCAGGGCTGCGCAGGCGGCAGTAGCAGGCCTGCAGCCCTGTGCCAAAATTGAAAGACCGAGGGCTGCTTGGGGGCACTGCAGGCAGAACCCTTCACACATCCATCCAACCAAAAAAATAATATAAACCCCACCACTGTTCCCACCCCACTCACTGGAAGAAAACCAACAACTTGCACAAGGTCAGCAACAGTTTCTAGTTCCTTTGCAATTACTGCCACAGAAAGCTTAAAAGCACGGACTAGAGAAAATGCTTGTGCTGTATCTTGCAAGTAGAGGGAAACCAGGAGCTGACAATCAGCTCGGACCCTCACAAAGCAGTCAACAAGAACCAAGCATACATATACACACACAGGGAGAGTGCCAAATCATAATCCCTACTGGCAAGGGTTACAATGGCAATTTGCCCCCACAAAACTAAAATGGATTACAAAGAGGAAAAAAGAAAACCAGTAGCAAGTAGTGCCAACTCCTTACTGGAGGGGGTTGGAACTGTCCGAGCCCCAATGGAGAAACAGATCAAATAGCTGCAGGGCGCGGGGTGGGCACTGCTGTGTCCCTTTCTCCTGCTCCCCATTCTAAGGCCAGCTTGTAGAAACTCATAGCATTGGAATCAAGAACAGTGCTCCAACAGTGGGATTGATTACTACTGCTGTTCTGGCACTATAGCCATTATCCCATCAACTGTGAGGCAGTGCTGGGGCTCCATCAGTATGGATGTGGAGTTGGGGAGTCACAAATTCAAAATTCCTGTTTGGGGAACTAAAAAACCCATTACCACTCATTAGTACCATGGTACTTTCAAAAACGTCCTACTCAAGTAATTGGGAGCAAGCAAATAAACTAGGGGCAACTCCATTTTGTTTATCTGTAAGCTGCCCTGAGAATACTGCTGTTGAAGGTTAGCCTATAAATCATTAAAATAATGTGATCTTCTTTTGTAGAACATAGCAAAGGAAGCAACTTGTGCACCCTCTTTTTAGTGTCCATTCATGTTTGGGAAGATGCATATCTCCCTTGTGTGCATTAAGACATGTGAGGTCCACATGCATGTAGAGTTCACACTTCTCACCATGGTGGAGAGGAGCCATTTTCCTCCCTACATGTTACACAGGAGGCAAAAGCAAGAATATGCGCAAGGGACTCATTCATCCTCTGTCAGTGCTTCTAAATAACTGGCTCAATTTGCACGCAGTGCTAAGCCAAACCATGGGTTAGAGTGAATATGCAAAGACTGTGGCCACAGCACTACTCCCCTAGTCCTGCTGCTCCTACACTACCCAGAAGTAAGCCATGGTTTAGCTCAGCATTACATCCGAAACTGAGCTTGTGGTCTGCCTCCCTAGGTAATCCCCATGTGGTAAAACAAGAATACTGGGTTCAGCTTGTGCTTTTTATGGAGAGAAAACCAGGTTTTGACCCAATGGTTTGACTCCAGGTAACACAGCAGGTCCAAGGAAGAGTACTGTAGTTGCAATCTTTGCTCTGGGGACCTGTCCTTTTGCTTGCTCCTGCCAAGCCATGGTTCGGATTAGCATTACAGTACTTGCAAATGAGATAATTAATGGGAGTTGCTTTGTACTGCCAGCTGTCATAACCCTTCTTTGGGCTCCAACATCATATACCAAGGGGCAACTTGCCTATATGCTTCCATTTGCTCTGGAATCTGTCACCTTATGGCAAGCTATACAGTGGTACCTCAGGTTAAGTACTTAATTCGTTCCGGAGGTCTGTTCTTAACCTGAAGCACCACTTTAGCTAATGGGGCGTCCTGCTGCTGCCATGCCGCCGGAGCACGATTTCTGTACTCATCCTGAAGCAAAGTTCTTAACCCGAGGTACTATTTCTGGGTTAGCGGAGTCTGTAACCTGAAGCGTATGTAACTCGAGGTACCACTGTACACTGCACTGTATGGTATAGTATAGAGAATTTATAGTATACACTACAGGATTAAAGAGCAAAGAACTGCCCAAAGGATGCAAGATTTCTGACATAAAAGAGCTCTGCCATATGTGTAACTGGTCTGGGATTCTAATGTCACACTAAAGGCTGCACTAGAGACCGCAGTGTCAGACACGTGTTTATTTTGATGTGTCTTCTTATTCATGTATAAAGCAAGGGGTGAGGAGATCTTATTTTAACATTAAAAGGGGTCAACATAAGTTCATTCTGGTGGCCCACAGAAAGGCAATGCACTAGGAGAATTGGCCTCCACAGTCACTTACAGACTCATTGTTAAAACCGTGTTTATGGAAGACAATCTTAAAGGAGGAGGAGGAAGAAGAAGAAGACTAGGCCCTGCACTTGGTTTACTTTTTCCCAACAGCAGAACTAGTGGTCGCTTTGTCCAGGACCAGATTATCAAACAGACCAACAAGGCCCTGGTCTAGATCCTCTGATTTTTGTAATACTATGCTGGTGCTGTCTGCTAATTCCCTCCCCACCTCCCAAAAAATGAAAAAGTTAAAGGGGACCCCCATCAATGTTCAAATTCTCTGCAAAAAAAAGTTTGAGAACCTCTGAGTTATGAAACAGATGTGAGGGAAAAGGGACACATGAACAAGCAGTAAAGGCAAACAGAAGCTGTACCCAGTACAGAACCTCCTCCAGTGGCCCTTACATTTTAGTGTTAATTTCTCTTAAAAATGAAAACCAGGAATCTGTGGTGACTATTAACCTCAGCATTAAAAACAGTGATACGGATTTCATTTCAGTGCCCCAGCTGCCCGATTTCTCTCACCAGGTCCCCTTCTGATCCCATTTCCATTCTAGACCACCCCAGCCGCCTTGGCTTCCCCATTCCCAGCTCCAGAAACATCCCGTTTCCTTCCACTGCTCTTCTTAGTAGCTGCACCTGCCATCTCCTAAGAAAGCCTGTTTTCACATTCATGTGAAGTGTCTCTGGCAGCCCTAATCCAAGCCCCACCTTCTTCAAGATTTGAGGAGGGGGGTGGATTAAAGAGAGAGGCAAAACTAACCTGAGAACCACCCATTGTCCACCTCCTCCAATTTGGCATTGCCAGGCCCGAAGGAACCAAATGGTGACCGCCCCTTTAAGAGGCCTCTCTGCAGGTGTTTAGTGGGGGAGGGGGAGAGGAGGAGGGGAGGAGGAGGAGGAGGAGGAGTGTTTTCCCTTCAGCACTGGGCACTCCCAGGCCTCCCCACCCAACCTGTCCGACAGGTTTCAGACCATGATGCCAAGAGCAACCTTCCTTTTTCTTCCTCTCTCCTGAGCCCCCAGAGGAACATATCCAGCTTTCCTTAGACTTCCCCACAATTCCAAACCCCCCCACCCCCCAGGCTTGGTTAAGTGCCCAATCTCCTTGGTGGGACAGCTGCGTTCTGAACAGGACTTACAGGTGACTGGTAGTATTTTCTTGTCCTATCATCCCATCCAGGGATCCAGGCCGGGCTTCGAGCCTCCCAGTGATTCACCTGTTCTGGGCGTGCCAGCTGCAGGCAGATCCACCTGTCCTGGATTCCAACACAGGCAACACCATACTAAGCTAGGAGCTCACAGAATTTGCTCAAACACCTGCCACTACGAGAAGCAACTAAAGGAAGGAGGGCGAGTAAGCATCCCTGGCCCGGCTAAATCCAGGTCTGTACATCTGGACCATCCATTGCCAGGAAACCACCAGGACCACGTGGCTTGGCTAACACAACAAAGAACTACACTTAAATCCCAATGATTATGTATCCACACATCCTTGGTCTCCCCCTTTCAAGTTTTAACACCACAGTATGGAACCCCTATTACAGAAAAGCAACTGCATTACACGGCAATATAAAATCAGCCCTGGACACTACCGGCAGCATCAGCGATGCCCTTAGGAGCTAGGGTACTCTCCCACCCTTCAGCAGGGCGCCTGTTAAAACACAAGCTCAAGATCAAAAGAAGAGGAGGACAGTCTAGCAGCAGCTTTCAAACCTATAAAAACAACAGGCATCTGTACTGACAGATCCCCATTACAACGTTCCAGCAAGAGACATTCTTTGTCTGATAAATGATCTTTTTTAAAAAATAAACCAAGCTTTATCATAATTTTTACATACTATGGAGATTAGAAATACATATTTAGTCTAATAAATTTAATTCATGAAACAGAAATATAGAGACGTTATGACACTTCAAAAATTCTAAATTCCATTAAGGCAATTAATTCTCAGGACATAAAACAAACACAAAGAATTGTCACATATATTAAAAATTTAAACACTATAAACACTTATAAAACACCATTAAGATGTACAGTGGAACCTCGGGTTGCGAACATGATCCGTGCGGGAGGCACGTTCGCAACCAGCACCATTTGCAACCCGCAGTGCCGCATCTGCGCGTGCACGGGTTGTGATTTGGTCTTCTGCACATGCGCAAAGCGTGATTTAGCGCTTCTGCTCTTGCGTAAGCGCCGTAACCCGGAAGTAACCCATTCCGGTATTTCCGGGTTCAGCGCAGTGCACAACCCGAAATCGCGTAACCTGAAGCGTCTGTAACCCGAGGTACCACTGTATTTATAATGTAGAAATCTTTTAATCTGATAAAATATTTCTCCGAGCATATATTATTAAGGCTTACTTCCAAATAGGCATGTATAGGATTATGTTGTAAGATCATATCAAAACATCAAAAATAAAACCCTAACACCTGCAAAACATTTTAGCAATTCACAAGTTTTAGTTTATTAGATTACGTATTAAAACATAAAGACATTACAACTATAAATTTTTAAATTAAAAAATGCTTGAGAGTCGCATATCTGAAGTATTGTCTTAAATTCCAATAGAAAGGATTACCGCATACCATACTTTGTTTAGCATTCCAAAACTTCTTAAAGAGTTCCCATTCCTATTCAAATTTGTTCACTTTATACCTTTCTTCCTTTATAAGAGCCCATGTGATTATATTCAAAATGGCTAAGGCCCATAATGTAATCTATCCTCCCTTTATCTGAGATATTGTCCTCCTTTTCCATGATAAATTATCGTATTTTAGGGTCAAAAGAAATGAGACAATGGAAGATTTGTGATCAAGGCTTCATAAATTACCGTATTTTTTGTCCCATAGGACGCTCCGTCCCATAGGACGCACCTAGTTTTTTTGGGGGGAAATAAAGGAAAAAATTTTCCCCTTTATTTCCCCCCCCCCCCCAAAAGCAGGTCGGGGAAACCGAACAAGGTCGAGGAACAGCGGGATGGCGGCGCTGCGCCTCCCTGCTGTCCCCCGAGCTTGTGGGGCTGGCCGATGTCTGCCCGGCGCGAGGGGCGCTCTGCTTCAGGGCGCCCCGCCCGCCGGGCAGCAGGCTGCTATCCGCAGCATGGGAGCCCTGTGGGGAACTCCTGCAGGGCTCCCACACTGCGGATGTCTGCCCAGCGCGCGGGCGCTCTGCTTCAGGGTGCCCCGCCCGCCGGGCAGCAGGCTGATATCCGCAGCGTGGGAGCCCTGCGGGAACTCCTGCAGGGCTCCCACGCTGCGGATGTGTTCCCGAAGCGCCGGGCGCTCTGCTTTCAGGGCGCCCGGCGCTCCGGGAAGCAGGCTGCTATCCGCAGCCTAGACATCCCTGCGGGACCTCCCGCAGGGCTGCCTAGGCTGCGGATGTCTTCCTGAAGCCTGGAGAGCGAGAGGGGTCGGTGCGCACCGACCCCTCTCGCTCTCCAAGCTTCAGCGAAAGCCTGCATTCGTTCCATAGGACGCACCCAGATTTCCCCTTCATTTTTGGAGGGGAAAAATTGCGTCCTATAGGGCGAAAAATACGGTATGATTTCAACCTAAAAACATTTCTGTGAGGTGTTCCAAATTTGATCAAAGGGGTCTTCCTTTAACACCTTGAGCCATCCCACCATCATGTGTATGTTTTCTGCTGCGGGATTAATAGCAACTACATGAACAGGAATTGAGATTCAAAAATGGAGGGGAAGTGTTAAATCAAAGACCAGGACAGGGAACCTGTGGTCCTGCAGAAGTTGTTTGACCACAACTCCCATCATCCCTGGCCACCAGCCACATTGCTGGGGACTGATGGGACCTGGAGTCCAATAACAACATTTGGCGGGTCAGAGGTTTCCTAACACTGCCCTAAATACACACACGCATTGCAGCTGCTCAATTCAGATCCAGATCTTCGTCATATCATCTGTTTGGGCCCTTAGCTCCTTTGTAGATTCATATTAATATAATTGTTGCGGTAACCAGAAAACCTGTTCTTCTTCCCTTCCCTTCTTTCCTCCTTGTAAGATGTTTGTTTACCACATTTATATTCCACTCTTCTTCCCAGGAACTTAGGGTGCCTTACATTGGGGGCGGGCGGGGGGGTATCATATTTTATCTTAACAAAACAAAACACCACCCCTATGAGGTAGTTTAGGTAGATAAATAAGAACTGGTCCAAGATCTCCTGTCTTTAGTGCTTCACTGGTTAGCAGGAATTCAAACTCAAGTTTCCTTAAATTAAGTCCAATATGTTATCCACTCCGTCAAGTGGGTGTCTCTAAATGGACGTTGAGACCAAATTATTCCAGTGTCCCATGGCAAACAGAATCCCAGCTGAAGAAGAGTCAAAGTATGCATTGGAAGCCAATCTGCACCAGTCATTAGTTCCTACAGGCCTAATGCAAAGCCACTGAGAAGGATGCATGTCATGTTGTAACTTTTGAAGCATTTCCAGGCCCCATATTTCCTAAACTATCCTGCATCCTGTCAACAGAGCTCGCTGCTCTCCCACTTCAAGCCAAGCAGCAATTTTTCACAATGACAACTATACAGCTCCCAAATTACACTACTGGTCTGCCCTTTGAAGGCAGTGGCCCAACCCTACAAACCCCCAAGATGGTTTGACGCACAGGCTGTTGTTGAACCCATGGGCAAAGTTGTGCAAGGGTGTCACTTACATGCAGGCAGCTATCCCGTTGGAGTAAACAACACAGCTCCCACCATTCTCACAGGGCTTGTCACCATCCAAGCACTGTATGGCTGTAGAAAAAGAGAAAGAACTTGGTTAGAGCATGCCATTGCACAGCTGTAGAAACAACAAAGCAATGCCCAGGCTGTGAAGAACAGATCTAGCAAAAGTTACTGGTCACAACAGCTCAACAAAAGCTCCCATGTACACTCAACCTGGTGCAAGGAAAACAACAACAAGGAAACAACCATTACCATCATGCCATGAGCTCAAAAAGCACCTCTTATGTTTTATAGTCATGCTTAGCTCTTGCCCCAGGATAAAGGATATGGACTGAACTTGTGTATTTTGCTTTTACAATCTCCATTGCACCCCCAAAGCAGTGTTTTGATCATACAAAGCTGACTTATACGAAGTCAGACTATAGGTTTATATAGCTCCCTACTATCCACACCTGGAAGGATAGACTAATACTGCTGGACTCCCAACTCCCATGATGCAGCCACAATGGCCAGCGATCAGGAATTATGGGAGTTGGAGCCCAGCAACATCTGGAGGGCCACATGTGCACTGTTAGAAACTCAGGTATATAAAACTAGGCACCAAATGACATCTTGAATCTAGGTTGTGGTCGCCACAACAGAATGTCTATCTGCCAGGGGATGACCCCCAGAATCCCTTCCAATGCCACAGTTCTATGATTCTATTATCTCAACTACATTGCTTGACTGTAGCTTGCTCTTACAACAATTCACTTGTCCCAGTATGCAAGAAGAAACATACACAGTGGAAAGGGAAATGGTACTAACTATGGAGTAAGGCAGAGATTTTTCAACTGTGATTGCCAACCTGGTGCCCAGAAATCTCCACGCTGTTGCAAGTGGACCTGTGTCAGTAGCAAAACGTGCCTGGCGCCTGGCTTATTTTAAACACTGCAGTGGCATAGCGTGGGGGTGCAGGGGGGGCCGGCCGCACCGGGCACAACATCTGGGGGTTAGGGGGCGCAAATCCACGGGTTAGGGGGCGCAAATTACTTGCCTTGCCCCGGGTGCTGACAACCCACGCTACGCCACTGAAACACTGCACCCCTGGTCTACACAACTGGCAGCATCTCTCTAGGGGTTCAGACAAGAATCAATCTCAGCCCTTGTGTGGAAATATTAGAATGGAGCCTGGGACTTTTTCTAAGCAGAACTTTGCCACTGGGCCCCTCTCTCTCTCTCTCTCTCTCCTCTCCCCCCCCCCCACAGAAAACCTTTTCACTTAAACAAGATGATAATGGCAACTGAGAGCAGATTCTTCCCATCCCAAGCACTGCCCACAGTCCCACAACAGATTTTTCTTGCTAAAATTATCATCCATGGAACAATTCATATATGCTATTATTGTTAGGCTTCTGAACACACAGAGAGATGGAAATAATAATTGAAGGTCTGCAGATGCATCTTCAAGGGGTCACGTCAGACAACACAAAACAGGAATAAGGCAGAAATGCTTCAAACGAAGGGAGTAGACAGAATTTCTCACAAGCCACAAGTAGGCTTAGCTGGCTCAGTTAGTGCAACCTCAGCCTCTACACTGCCCAGTAACTAGAGACCGGCTTCATTGGCAAAGGTCAAAAAGTATGCAGAATACCATCGAAAGTCGTAGGGAAGAGAGACAATCTGCAAAATGGCAAGAAAAAACGGCTCCTCTTCAGAGATTTCTCCCTTACATTGGTTTCCCACAATCTAGCAAAGAGAGGGGCAAGCACAGGGATGCATCTGGAATCCCCAAGCAACCAGGAAGGGAAAGACAGCAGTTTCTGGGGGACTGGGCATTCTAGAGAAGACAGAGATCATCTGAGGACTGCAGCTAACAAACTAGAATCACTAAACAACCCAGCAGTCTCAGATCATGGCGAGTCATTGGAGTTATGGAGATTCCACAAGTACTTGGTGACCTCTGACAACTGCCACCGAGAGAGCTAGCTGAAAGTGAGATTCAACCTCCACAGATCTGTATAGAGAGCCCTGTGTATGGGGAGGCTGGTATTTTTAAGAAACCCCTGCAAAACTCAAAGTGGAAGGACAAGGGCCTAACAAAACTGGCACAGAAAAATGGGGATCCCGCAGTCTTCCTCGCCCTCCTATGTGCCATCGTGAGTGGGTAGGAGGAGCCATTTAGTAAATGCCCAAGCTAAGCCAAGCAAAGCACGTCCCCTGATGGGGCCCAGGCTAGGGGAAAGAACCACAGGCACCCATCTCTGCCAGCCCTGAGAGGGGTGTTTGAGTGCCCTCTGAAAGGAACAAAATTAGAGACACATCCATTCCCAAAGGAACCCCTTTTCAGGCTCAAGAGACACTACAAGTGCTCTGGGCCTACTGAAGGAGGGAGATGCAGCCGAGCAGCAAAGGGATGCTGGCTGAGACCCCTCCCCTCTCGAGAGCAGAGAGAAGATGGAAGGAGCTGGGGCCCAGGCAATACACTCACTCTCAGCCATTTCCTAGAGACCCACTTGTAACAGAGTGCGTGCCCAGCACACAGATCAGTCCCAGACAATGCCTCTCCCCCCTCCACTGCCGCCCCTCACTCTGTCGGCATGCAGAGCCAGCAGCAGCACTGCAGCAAAATGTGCTCTCAGCAACCGCCCTTTATGCAGACCATATTAAATTCCCCCGCACCCAAAATGAACCTACGCCACTATGGATTTCACCCTCCCCACAACTTGAACACCGTGTAACTAGCAAAGGCTGCATACAGATAGGTGCAGACACTCTGCTCACCGAAACCTAAACAGATATGTAGTCAGTGAGTTTCTTTTACACATACACACACTCTTACAGGTGAACAATATGGGGCAACCGTCTCAAACACAGCTAGCAAGCACAATAATGAAAAGTATTCCCAGCACAGTTGCATGTGTACACACACACACACACACACACACACACATGCACACAATGCCAGGAGCTCACAAAGACAGCATAAACACACCCTGTGCCTGAATGCTTTCAAACCAGCTTAAGCACATGTAACACTGCATACGTGAATATGTACACAATCTCACAGGAAGTATAATATGCATAGCTAAGTATCTCAGCGGGAAGCATTCCTGACACAACACAAACCCACAATTTCCTACCCTTTCGTCCTTTCCAGAGCACACAGCCAAGTTTGAGCCAGTGGAATGCACTCCCCACACCTCCAACTCTACAACCAACATTCCAACACGTGTACGCTTTTCAGACATGGGCACCCAAATGTAGAGGGCCCTGCAGCCATAAACACAATTCTCAGCTCTTGCATGGAACCTTATCTCCAAAGGAAAGGCCAGACCTAAACCTACACAGAAGCAAGCCAGTCTGAAACCAGACTGCCTAAAATGTGTGGCAAACAAAGGGAATCAGTGATCACACTTCCCTCTCATATATAACATGGGATGGGATGGAATCGCAACATGGCCCACAGTGGCAAAGAGAAAATATTCTTAGTCCTGTTGGCCACCCCCTCCCAAAACACGGCAAGGCAGAAGATGAACTCACAAGAGCCTTGATTTTCCACCTTCCAAAGAGAGGGAACACAAGCAACCCAAAGAACTTTCTTTGCTCAAATCAACATTAGCCTCCCCCAAAGCCCAGGAAATTAGCTCTCCAAGGCTCTAGCTTTGCATCAAACCGTCCAGAAACAAGTTAGAAGGCAAATAGGTTTCATGCTCTTTAAAGAACCACTGGGAATAAGAAGTGGCAGAGGTCACCCTTCAAGGCAGTGAAAAGCCAAAGACTACAATTGAGGTGCTCTGGCTCCCACTGCTTTGACTGCTTAATCCTCATGCTCTTTGCAGGGCTCAGCCAGATGCCAGGAGTCCTGGCTTCTCACCTCCACCCCAACCATCCCTTCCTTAAATGACAAGCAGCACTAAACATGCAAGCAACATTGAGAGAAAAAGAGAGAGAGAGAAAGAGAGATTGATTGTAAGGGTTATGTGCCCAAGGGTCATCTCAGGCCAATATTTACGGCTCTGTCAATCAACAAGTCTATGTAAACAATCAAACAAGTTAAGAATTCAGTCTTGTTTGTAGAAAACCACCAACCAAGAATCATTTTCTAAACACCACGTATTATGCCCAGGAGGAGGGCAGTGGGGAGCCTAGATTTTCCAGCAGTAAGGGGTTAAGGCTTCAGTGCCTTGCATTAGTTCCTTGCCCTTCTCTACAAGCTAACACAAAAGTTAGGCAAACTAAACAAACTTGCTTGATTTATATAATTTATGCAGCTTGCAAGATTCAGCACAGAATTTGGACTGTGATAGCTAGCAATATTTTTTCTTTCCCAAACTCACACAGCTGTGTCCATAACAAATCTTATGAAGGACAGCACACCTCACCCAAGATGTCAGGTGCTATGTTTGCTACTCTGAGCTCCTTTGGGAGTAAGGGCAGGATATAAATTTAATAAAATAAATATTTGAGGCCTGATAATCTGGTCTCACTGAATCTTGTAAGAAAGAAAGAAAAAACCCAGAGAATTTATCTTGTAAAGACACCCTTAAAGTTTCAAGCATTTAAGACACTTTTAAAAGAATTTGGAGAAGTAAATGCTTCTCTGTCTCAGTGACCTCTGTTTCCTCAACAACAGCATCATTTCTCTCCAGATTTCTTGATTTGTTAATCAAGAAAAGCAACATTAGCTACACTCTGAAACCATGGATTTTTCATTGCACCGCATGCCTAGATATACTGTATATTTGCAATGATGGTTTCATCATAACTAGTATAGCATGCTAACCATGATCTGATTGCTAGGACTAGTACCCATGTTTAATCTTTGTAAAGCAAAAAAGCAGTAACCCTTGACGACTGCAAGATCTGTTGTTCTTTCACAATTGTCTACTCTGGACCTTTCTGTTTAAAAACATAGGCCTCTGTAGTTCCCTGTGCATGCAGTTTGTGCAGCAAAGTTATTAGCATGGAGCTTGATCTTTGGGCATTTCACAGGAGCCCAGCGTCTTGGGAATGAATGCACTACTGACTCACAGCTCATAAACCCCTTTTTGCACAAGTGTCAAGCCACCACACTTTATTTGGGGAACATTTTGTGCTTTGCAGGGCAGACATTGTTCCTAGATCTCCACCATAAGTGCACACAGCAAATGCCTGAGGGAGACTCACATGCCTTGGAAGACACATGAAGATTAACCAACTGGAACTCCTTGGGTTCTGTCCATTCTGTATTCCATGTACAATAGTACCTTGGATCCCGAATGCCTTGCGAGTCAAACATTTTGTCTCCTGAACGCCACAAACCCGGAAGTGAGTGTTTCGGTTTGCAAACGTTCTTTGGAACCCGAACGTCCAATGCGGCTTCCAATTGGTTGCAGAAGCTTCCTGCAGCCAATCAGAAGCCATGCCTTGGTTTCCCAACATTTTGGAAGTTGAACTGACTTCCAGAACAGATTCCATTCGACTTCCAAGGTACTACTGTACTTTCAGATGGATAATACAGTGTTCACTGCAAGACATGCAGGAAGCAGTCAGGAAATCCCTGTGGTGTTAAACTTGCAAATGTAACCGACCCAAAGAGCTGTAACAGTTTACCTACTGACTTCTCATTCTGCAAGACCATCATAAGTTGTTTCTTCAAGGCAGAGGCAAGAATGAGATGACAGTTGTATGGCAAGATTCTCCACTCCCCACAAAAGACTCAAATTATACCATGAAGACCAGTATCATGTCCTTGATAAGGGAGGTAGACTAGGGTTTTTATCCCACCACATTAGCTACGCCATAATATACAATCAAAACCACAATACTGTATCAATTACAGAGCAGGTCTTTTGAATTCTGGCCTACCCCTGACAACACATCATAGTTTATTCTACTATGACCTTGACATCAGGCTTGCCAAGTTCATCCCTTCACAGATCAGGATGCCCTTGAAATGTCTTAAGAAATATATCCTCCCAGGGCTTGGCAGTCCAAGGGTGCAAAACAACCCTTCCTCCAATGGAAATTCCCACTTTTAAAACCTGTATTTCCCAGGAGGCCTTTGGCTTAAAACCAGGTCAGATATGTTGACACTAGCTGGGGCTGAAAGAATCTGACTTAAGGATAGTCAGGCTGTGTAATAAAGTTTGCAGTATAAGGAACACAGAGATGGAGCACATGCATTTCAATAGTATGAGGTCACCAATGGGAGGAAAGGATGCTGTGGGACAAATGTCCCTGGAAAGACACTAATTCTTCCCAGCAGTGAGGTATGTTTCCTGGGAAATTATTAATAGGACAATTTTCCAAATTAGTGTCATTTGGATACAATAATTTGCATCAGAAAACTTTCTGATGCCCTACAGCAGGGATGGGGAACTTGTGGCCGTCCAAACACTGCTGGTCTGAAACATCCATCATCCCAGGTCATGACTATGCTGGCTGGGGCTCATGGGACTTGGAGTCCAACAACATCTAGAGAGCCACAGGCTCGCCATCCCTGCCCTATAAGAGTGATCTACTTTGACATGTTTATTTCACTTGTATTTAGTAAGCAAAGCTAAAACTTTGAAATTGCCAAGTTTGCCTGATAGTTATTTGCAATTAGGATCCATTCAGTTACTAATGAACTTAAAACAACGTAAAATTTTCTTCAGGGAAAAGGAAAAGCAGTGGAAAATTTTCCAACTATCAATCCAAGAAGATGTATTACCATATTAAATACACATGGAATTCCATTGCTTCATTTTCCTTTCAGAAGTGCGAGCACAGTTGGCTACCACGTCTCTATTAAAATTTGATAAAGGGTCCTCAGATCAGCTGAAGCTGACAGCTGAATCTGGCTTGCACCTCTCTACTTGGCCCTTCCTGAGTGTGAGCAAAGGCCCTGGAGGCCAGGATTCCCAAGTTCTGTTCCAAGCTCTAGATACGGGTGAAGTCAGGGAGGACCAGACTCTAGCGATTCAGCCACACGTTCTGTCAACACATAGGGCATTATATACATCTTCTTCTGGAGCAAAATATCACCACTCAAAGAGGCTCCAACTTGGAAGTCTGCCTGCAAATTCATTCTTGGAGTTTGAAGCATTTCTAACACTTCCTTTAGGAAGAAAATTTTGCCTTGCTATGACCTCTGTTTGACATGGATAGCTATTCGAAGAACCCATTTCAAGCCACCAAAGGGAGCGTTGCATGCGATACAGAATGGGAGATCCAATCCCGCTTCTCACATTAACTGCTTGAACGATCTCCATGTGATTAAAGGAGGGGAGAGAGAGCCAGTGGTGTGGACCCACTGCTCCCTACCCCTTGATGCCAAACATTGAACATGGGTGTCTCTATGGCAGGAAAGTCTATGCATGCAGACCTCCTGGGCTTCCATGGAAGTTAGAACCCCGAATGTACCACAGTTGCTCCTCATTCTAGGAGTCAGTGCCAATGTGAATGGCTAGCTCAGAAAACTCAAACCTGGGGAACTCTTGGGGTTTCTCAGCGATCCAAAATGGCAGAGAAGCTTTGACACCTTGCCCACTGCTATCCACCAAACTTCTTGGCCACTGGGAGTACTTAGTGCACCCTGAGGTATATTCTTTATTGATGTAGGTTGATGGTAAGGCTTAACAGACTTAGCCAATGCCCCCACATGAAGAGAACATGCACACTATGCTTTATATAGTGTTCAGGCATTCCATATCCATATCCTCAGGATATAAGTAAATGGAGAAAGTCTGTGCTAAATTCTGAAAGTTTGAAAACTACTCCTACCTCACAGCAATAAGCATGCATGTTACAAGCACTGCTTGCCTTTTTCAAAGGAATCAAAACCTACAAAACACCAGAGACAAAGAAAGAGTCCCAGAGAAAAACCTCCTGCAATTCCCCATCTTCTTTTAACATGCTGACAGCCCATGCCTTGGGTACCACCCACATATCTTGGTTACCATGTAGGGTGTGGTTGACTGATTCCAGGCCCCTATTGGCAGGCACATATAAACAGGTCTCGTTACTAACAAAAAAAGAAAGAAAGAAAATTCTGTGCCAAGGTATACAAAATTCTGAGCCAAGAAAAGCTGAAAATCATGACCGGGATAAATTATGCAAAATGAGAAAATTTGCGTGAGTTGCCTATCTTGCATAATTTATTCTTAGTCACAGGGAGGGAGAAACAACTATGCGGGGCACGAAAGTCCTATTTCCTGAGCAATGGAAGCCCTGCTCAGCCTCTCCCGGGTTACTGAAGTGTTCCCAGGCGTTGCTGAGCCCTACTCATCACTGCAGCAGACATAGAAGCTAGGAGCTTGCTTTAAAGAATGAGCACCAAGATTCACAGGAGGCAGAGTTCTGCACTCAATACCAAGCCTTCTGCTTGGACAAAATATACTAAGCCTGACTGCTAGGCTGGACCATAGGAAGCTGCCCATCTAGCTCAGTACTGTCTATGCTGGCTGGCAGAGGCTCACCATGGATGGCATTTCCAGCCCTACCTAGACATGCTGGGGATTGAACCAGGGACCTTCTGCATGTAAAGCAGATGCTATACCACTGTGCTACGGCTCTTCTATGTACCTGGGGACAGCAGAGAACAGAAATGAGAGGAATTGGGCCCTTTGCTGCAAAAAAGTTACCACTGCATAGCCTAAGCACAATTCTGGCTTTTAAAAGGGGAAGGTTGAGTCACAGCCACGTCCAAATGGCAGGAGCAACAATATGCCCCTCTCCCTCACCATCCTCCTCCAGGTTCTCCAAAACAATGAAAAGGGTAAAACTTTACCATTGCTCTCAGTCCAAACCATGTGATCAACATTTGCACTTATTTCCTATCCATTCTGACTTTTATCAACCCAAACTGAATGCAGGTGTGGTTAAGCAAGCATCTGGGAGGTCCACAACAGGCAACCCAATCCTGATTTGCTTAGACTGGTTACCTGTGCTTTTGAATACATTCTGCACAGAAGCGTGGTGAACCAGGATCCATGCATATAATGGGACTCGGATGCTGCTTTCAACCCACGCACATTCCGCTGAGGCTAATAAAAAGGAAGTGTGGCTACCTGTTAGCGAGGAATCTGGCCCCCCAAAAGTGACTGAGTGCTGCAAGGCTGTGTGGAGGGGCTCCCAGGCTCTCTCCAGCTGCCTTTGTTAGCTGGCTAGCAATGTGGGCAGAATAAAGGGGCAGGGAGTTGAATGGCCAGCCGGCTGGCCCTGCTATTGCATCTGGAGGGGCTGCAGCAGGGAGGCAGCTGCTGTGTCTCAACAACTCTGTGCACAGACAGCTTCAGCTCACAGAATCTACAAAGGGGGTGGGAGGGTGAGGGGAGAGATTCCTCACTGTGTCCACACAAGAAACACAAAGAAAGGCAGCAGGATTAGATACTGCAGAGTCAGACATGGGCTCGGTACCATCAAGACTTAGGATACTCCCTTACACAGACACAACTGAAGGCAAGGAAACCTGTTGCAAAATGGAAAACACCAACTAAAAGCCCCAAGGGAAAGACCTCTGGATGATTACATTTATTCTTTCTAGAATTGACAAAAACACACACACCCAGATTTGAACTTTTGCAGTCTCACCATCCCCACAAGCTTAAAAAAAAAGGAGAGGAAAGATTTCAGATACACACAGAGGGTGCCATTAATGACAAAGCTGTGTTACTATCAGATCTGGAAAACTGTGTAGGCAGGGAAGATATCCTTCCCAATTCCAGAGGATGGGATAGGAGCATGTGCAAACTGGATTCAAATAATCAATTCCACCAATCTCCAGGTTCAATTTTGTATTGAAGTACATTAATTAACGGCATAACTTGGCGCTTGTGTTTTTGGCAAAGCTTAGCACGTATTTAAATGCTCACATTTGAGTCCCTGCTCCTGCCAAATCAAACCACAAATTTCCATTTGAAATTTAGTAATGTTCAGTTTTAGGCAATGGATTGCACCCGTTTTGGAAGGGAAAGGCTATGCCAGTTAAGAACGCTGCATATGTTACAAAATTCAGATGCGTAAAGAACAAAGACAAAACACATGTACAATGATCACACATGCAGATCTTTCATGTCATGGCATGTTGCATACATTTTCTGGGAAGCCAAGGCCAAATCACGGTGGAAAAACCTCATGTGTGCCCGATCATGTGAAGCAGCCCTTGGATGAGGGCTTCATCAAGTGAGGCACTTTCCTGCAGATCATCACATTGTTATCAGCGGAGCCAAGCAGAAAAGAAGGAACAGCTTTGGAAGAGACAAAATGTCTGGCTTGCAGACACTGCTATGGACAAGGCCTAAGTTTCTAGCCCTAAGGTTCATATGCATACTGTAGTAGAAAGCGGCCTGCTTTGTCTCTCACACAGGGCCTGTCCTACTAGGCAGGAGTCCCAACCCTTGCATGACCCTCATCTGATACAGCCCACACCTAAAAAGAAAGGAAGAAAAAAGACTGCATCCTGCCAATTCAAACTCAGAACACTCAACCAGAGTTGGCCCTTCACCCTGAACCTCCTACTCTTTGAGGCCCTTCAGATGCTGTTTTGGGAAAGCTTAAGGACAGGGGTCCCAGTGCCTTTCGCACCATTTTGAATTCTCTAGAGCCATTAGAAATGTTCCCGTGTGGCTCAAAGCAGCAGCTCGGAGCCCTTGTCTGGCGCAAGACCGCCAGGGCTTCGGCAGCACTGCGGTGGAGTTGCTCAACCAAGAACAATGCCCTGTCTATGTCCAGCCAAGCAGCAAGCTGGCGGGGAGGGGAGGAGGGGATTCATATTCCCGGGCACCCACAATCCACAGCATCCCCGGCCTCCTGCGTTGGACGAGCCGCACATTCCCACGCACTGGAGCACCAGCTGGCCGGGAGCGTTCTAATAAGCAAGGCCGGCTTCCCCAAACCAGTCAGGTGGCTTCATGGGAGAGTGAAACCCAGGCTGAATAATAGCCCCACGTTCTATTTACCTTTCGCTGCAATTATCTCATCCCTGGCATACTGCTGCACGTTTCATAGGGCAAGCAAGTCGCTGCACGACACCCAATTAAATCATCTTATCTCTCGTTTGCATCACAGTATATTCCCAAGCGCACAAATGGGGGAAAAGCCGGCTTGGTGGGGGGGTGGGGGTGGGGAGAGAGAATTTCAAAGCAGACTGAGCCACTGCAACTCCCCAGAAGCATGGGAACTGGCTGGCCCAGTTGCTGAGCTGTGCACTCCCTAGCATGGCTCCAAGACGCGTTCCCAGTTTCACAGTCAGGGATCTGCAACTTCGAAGCCAGCCACAGACTTAGCTCCTTTGGGTCGGAAACAAGGGTGCCATGCCAGGGCTATAGAACACACAGTGCGAGAGCAGGATTGGCTCGAGAGGCACTTGGGCAGCTTCTTGGGAATAGCTTGCAGCAACAATAAAAGTTTGTGCATCCAGCAGAATGTGAAAGGGGAGGGCGCGCGAGGGGGCAACAGCTGCTACTACATCTGCCCAGATCATCAACACCCTTCCCTTTGCTATCCTGTACACACAATGCGCAGCAACAAAAGCTCTATCAAATTCAATGTCAGTGTGGGTGTAAAGCCTTCCAAGGAGGCCATTTCATGACAATCCAAAAGGGAGGCGGAGGCGTCACCCCTTAACCCACAACCACCCCACTTACCAGCAAATCATTTCACACACACACAAACCAGCACACAAGCTTGCTACACAAATATAAGTTCATGTATGTACCTCTTGCATATATTCCATGAGAAAGAGAGGACGAGTGGGCCTTGCACATGCAATGCATTTTATGCGTTTTTAAACATATGATCATGCGCACATTCACAGACAAACTCACATACACCAGTTGCACAATCAAGGGCACTAAATTTTCAATCCATGCCGTTTACCAAATGCATTTGCATGTCTGCACAACAGGCGTGTTAAACCAAACATTTATTTCCTCCTTTACGCTCTTGCACAAACTCCAGGCTTTGGCAGAACCAAACTCCACAGCATACCCGCTTCAATAAAACCTCAATGGGATACCATAGAAAATTGAAAGCTTCTCCCTCCGCCAGCCTGCCCGAGCAAGAGTTGCTTTGCAAGGAGCCGAGAAAGAGAAACAGAGAGCGACGGCTACAGCGGAGACCGAGAGAAGCCAGATCCGAAATCCACGCTCCGGTTTTTCCAGCCGCTCCGGGCTGGGAAGCTTAAACTGGCTGCCGAGAAAGTTTACTTCAAGTAAATAAAAAGTGCAAGATTGTTTCCCCGCAGCTCAAATCAGTGCCGGCGAATTAGCACCCCCCGCCCGCCCGCCAATCCAGCCTAATCGCTCCCTCCCCTTCACACAATCGGTAATTAAACAACGATCATTTATTTTCTTTGTGGCCCGTTCCGTAACCCTTTCCCCTTCCCTCCCCTTCTTCTGGCGTGGGGGGGGGGGGTGCGGAAGAGAGAGAGAAAAGGACGGGGATCTAGCCGGGAACAAGGAAAATAACTTCAGGGTCCGTCCCCCCCACCCGCACTGGAGGGAGGGAGGGAGATGGCGGCTCAAGGCACCGAGGAGCGCCAAGGGGACTCCGAGAGGCTCCGGCGAAGTTTGCTTGAAAAGTTTGAAAAGAGGAAACGAAGAGGCCATGATCGAGCCCGGCCGAAGCGGGGAGGGCTTTCTTCCCACCCGTGCTAGGCTTAACGAAGCCGGAGGGGCGAGCGCCCTGTGTCCCGTCCTCCCCCCCCCGACACCCCCGAGGTCCTCCTTACCTGCTCCCCGGGTCAGGCGCGCCAGCAGAGCGATGCCCAAAAGGCTGCAGCCCAGCCATGCCCGCCACGGGCCCCCGCGCCGGGACGCCAAGCCCATTCCCCCCTAAAGTCCTGTTGCCGCCCTATAGATCCATGGAAGGGGCCGCGCCGAGGCTCCAGCCAGACACCAGGACACCGAAAGCGCGGCGGCGGCGGCAGCGGCGGCGGCGCCTCCTCCTCGCTCCCGGACCCTGGGAAACTTCTCGGAGTGCGAGCGGGGCGGGGCGACCCCGCTGCCCGGGGGCGGGGTCCGCACCCAGCCCGCCTGGCCTGGCTCGGCTCGGCTCCCACGCTCCCTCCTTCTCTCTCGCCACCCCCCTACTCGACACCCCCCACCGGCCCCTCCAGCCCGGGCGAGGATGGGGCGCAGGGAGAGGGAAAGGAGAGAGAGAGAGAGAGAGGGCAGCGTGGCGCCGCGCAGGATCCCGCAGGCGGGGAGATGCGCACTCTCCTCGGTGGGGTCGACTTTGGCGGGATGAGTCTCTCCCGAAGTTGCCCCCTCCCCTTAGGCGCACATCTGGGCGCCTCTGGGGAAGCGCTGGGGCGGGGAGGCTTGTGGGTTGCTCCTTTGGCAGTCGAGGCCAATGTAGGCTTGCTGGGTTTCGGCCCAGCGAGGCGGATTATTTTTAGGATTTTGGAGGTGGGGGGGCTGCAGGCGAGGGGGAAGAGAGGAGGGGGAAACTGCCGTGGAAGGCTTGGCTCGGGTTAGGCACTGTTGAGCCACCAGGCCTCCTCGCATTTTCCCACACACGAACTCTCCCGCGAACTCTCTCCAAACGTGACCAAAAAAGTTGCTGTTTTCTTCAACGTCCCAATTCCCCAAGGAGAGGGGAAAGTTTCCATCCTTCCCCCACGATGAGGGGTGGAGGCAGCCCCAGCAGCAGCCCAGAGCAACGTCTGCTTGTTTCCAGTGGCACAAACCCAGGAGCCGGGCCGCGTAGCTGGGCTAGGGCGGAGGGGAGGCACAAAGGAAAGGCTAAACGCCTTTCCAGAAATTTCTTATTTCTGGATTCTCGAAATGAGCGAAGAGCTTGCTGTTTGCTACGCAGATCTTTGACGACTAAGGAGCGAGGGTGGGGGCAGAGGGAGAAGAGCATTTAACATCCTAATGCAGTGGTTCCCAATTAGCTAATTACTGAGGACCCCCCACCCATTTGTGAAAATTTTGATAACTCTCTGGTAGTTACCTCTGCAAAGCAATTTTGAACAAAATGTGGGGCAGCCCCTAACAAGCAAAGGATTTTAGGTACACTTAAAAAAAACCCATAAAATTTGTGATATTACCATGCAAAAATGACAAAAATTTAGTTGGGGGAGAGGCCGCTTGGGTGCATTCTGTGGACCCCCAGGGGTGCCCATACCCTTAATTAGGAACCACTGTCCTAGTGGGTACCAGATTTGTGTAGAGATTGTGCTGCATCACAGCATTTTCCTAAGCTGAATCTTCAAACTGGGCCCGAGGACTCTGGCATTATGATGATGCTGCTGCTGTTGTTCAAAATGTGTGCAGCCTTTTGATGGGATATACAGTAAACTGACATGAAATCCTGGGGGGGTAAGACTATTATAATGGTTCTAGCTCGATCAATGGGTATGTGGATTGCCTGTTCAGTTCACGTAACAGCTATCAAAAAAGAGAAGGGTTTACCAAGCTGTTTTCATGCAAATGATCACTGGAACTCATTGCCACAGTATGTGGATCAAAGGGATAACACAAGACCATTAAAAGGACTGGATAAGCCAATGACTTGGAAGATAATCAGAACACAGAACCTTCTATCAAGAGACTAACATTCATTCAAAAAAGGGTAGAGTGGAACATAATCCTGGGCTGTGTACACATCATACATGTAAAACCCAAAGAATCCTGGGAACTGTAGTTCATTAAGGGTGCTGGGAATTGAGTGGTAACTACAGTTCCCAGGATTCCTTGGGGGAAGCCATGTGCTTTAATTGTCTGGTGTGTAGGCAGCCCTGGTCTCCAGTGGGACAGGATAACAGAGCACATTTGGTCCCTTTCAGTCTCCTTTATGCTCAGTTTGATTATGTTAGATGAATCAGTTTTTTCAAAGGAGGGCTTGGCTCCCTGCTCTACCACCAGCACACTGTGTGACCTCACATGAATTAGTCAGCTTCTTTGGCTTTTCTCTTCCATACTCTAGCCATGCAAATAATGTCCCTGCCTTGCTTCACAGCAGCAAGAAGACCAACACATCCAGACTGAGACTTCTGAGTGCCATGATGACAAAGCAGCCACACGTCAGAGGAGAAGCCTCCCCTCCTTAGCCATGAGCAAACTCAGTTTCTATCATCAGCTTCCTGCTCTTGAAGTATTGGTTGCTGGCCTAAGGTCTACAGGACCTGCCCACAGCTGTAGCAGAAATCATCATCATCATCAAGCAATTAGTAGTACAGTACAGTGGTACCTCGGGTTAAGAACTTAATTCATTCTGGAAATCCGTTCTTAACCTGAAACTGTTCTTAACCTGAGGTACCACTTTAGCTAATGGGGCCTTCTGCTGCCGCCACGCGATTTCTGTTCTCATCCTGAAGCAAAGTTCTTAACCCGAGGTACTATTTTCTGGGTTAGTGGAGTCTGTAGCCTGAAGCGTCTGTAGCCTGAAGCGTCTGTAGCCCAAGGTACCACTGTACACTGTTCAGGTGTTCAAAATGGCTCATATACATTAACGCATGGACAGCTAAAACATACTTCTACACCTTATGAAAATTTAGCTCTGAATCCTCATAAGGGTCCGAAAAATCCAAGGGGCAGGTCTATAAAATGACCATAGTACTACGGTTAGAGCGAACCAAGATTCACAACATGTGTAGTATGACCTTTTGAGTTTTGTAGCACACTTCCTCAGGCACAGGATGTTTGCTTTGTTCAATTTTTGTGTAACTTAAAATCTCGCACAACACATTGGACGCTCTTAATAAAAGTAGGGCATTTTGCTTCTGCTTGCAGGGTTTGAAAGCTTTCAGCCTTAGTAATTGTCTCACTTCCATCTGTCATGTCTGTCTGCTGAAATCCTCTGCGCCAGTGGGCTAAGGATGGGAGTAAGTGTTTGGTGCTCAAGTCTGAGGAGCGGTGGAACCAGTCTGAGCAAGCCAGGCCCATTCCCTGCTACAGGCAACTAACTCACATCTGGCTGCCTGGCTGCCTTCCATAGGAATGAGCAGAGATCTGGGGCCAGGGACTTTGAGGAATGTTCAGGCTGCCACTCTGCACACAGGGTTCCCACTCATCCTTTGCCAAAACTCTCTCCGAGGGGATGAGAAGCAGCAGATCACACATCCTCCCTCATTGCTGGGACTCTTGACCCACAGCTAGTAGACCCTGAAACTAGGCCCTAGCCCTCCCCAAGCCCTGCATTACAATCCAGGCACCGTTATCTCTCCCTTTCTCCCATCCCTTACAACGGGCTAGCAGACTTCAGGCATATGGGATCTACTTTGCTTTTTACTGGAAATCCCAAGATCCACCAACCAGAGCTAGATAGAAAAGGCAAACATTTAGAATTAAATAATTCTGAAACCAGGAATTTGCTCTGAGTACCAGACATGAACTAAGCTAACAGTCCTTCCACACAAAAGTCCACTCCTAGTTGGACACCCCCCTCCCCCAATTTCTTAATTATCTGCTGGGGTGTGAGATAGCCATTTTGTTGTTAAAGAACTGGAAATCAGAAATCCTTGCCCCGCAATACAAAATGGCAGCATTGTTTTTATCCTCATTTCATTGATTTTTCAAAATCAGACAAAATTGAGGCTGAGTGGATATTGCTTCTGCTCTGCCTCTACCCTGTAACTGCTAGTTAGCATGTACATTTTAGCACCAACAAAATGGAGAGGGCCCTAGCTTCATGGTAGAGCATAAGCAGAAGGCCCCAGCTTCAGTCCCTGTTATTGCCACTCAAAAGGATCAGGGTAGGCAGCAGGGGTGCCAACTTGAATTGAAGAACTGATTACAAGATGCAGTATACACACACCATTTGAATGGCACTGCCCATCTATTTTGGGGGTGGGGTGACCACACATGCACACAGAGGGTACCCTGCAACATTTTGTTGTAGGGTCCCACATGCTATGTACTGTTTACATCCAGGCTAACTTGGGACTCGTGCTGTAGGAACTGGGCAGCTGCTTCACTGCATCCCTAGATCTAGATCCTTTAGCTTGGAAGGTTGTTGGTAACAGTGCAGTAAAATGCATGTATTCCTTTAAGTGATTTTTATCCCACCCATCTCAGTTTGAGGTGGCTAACAACCCATTTAAAACAAAAATATGGTGAACATGCAGTGGGGGTGGGGAAGGATTTCGGCAAAGAATTACAGTGTTCGCTGCACCATGAATTAATACCATGTGGGATTGTAGAAAGTGCAGAGACTTGGTCACAGGAGCCAGTTCTCAAAGCCAAGAAGCCGTGCAAGAAGGGTACCTTCTTAGTAAGGGAATGCAAATCACATGTTGCCACTGTGTGAAATCACTTCTCACAGGTTTGTATTTGTGAGCAATGCAGCTCCTGACTTTGCTCTGTGTGTGTGACTCTGTGCAGGCCCCTGTTTCTCTGCCCCTGCCCCACCCCCCTCACACACAATGGCACCTGTATTTTTCCACTAATGAATTATAAGAAGAGTAGAAAGAGCATGTGCTGCTTTAATTAGGGGCCCTTTGAATGGTCGAAAATCAGGAGGAACAACACATCAAAATTTAAGTCAGAAGCTAGCTGTTTATGTTTTTGTCAAACAGGCCATCACTGATCAATGACAGAAAATACTTCAAAACTCAGTTGCTGTTTTTGTTTAACAAGTTGTTTGCTACCAGATCATTTGTAGAAGCGACAAAAGTTAGGCTAGGAGCAGAAAGAGATAATTACTGTGGTTCCTTGTCTCATGGGACACAAATTTCATCCCATGTTTGCTAGCAACCTTGGCAATAGAATCAGGAATGTGTTGGTGGAATTTGCTGATGTCATAAAGCTGAGAATTTGAAATACTGAGATCAATAATCCAAATGGAGATTGCAAAATTATACAGATTGAATTGGCTGGCATCATAGGCCTTGGATAAAATAAAAGGGGTGGCCTTAAAGTGCATCCTGACCAACAGCAAGGTTGTAGTCTCAGTATGCCCACCACCAAGGACTTCTGAGTTGACATGTAAAAGAATGCATCATTAGTCAACTCCATTTTTCCTTGCAATGTCTCTATACTAAGCAATTTACAGAAATTTCATACATTTGCAATTTCTACTC